TCAATTTACATTGTTAACATTCCATTTACTAACATCCTTTATCTTTCCTTTCAAAATTTAATCCACAAACAGCGCAATTCATTTATTATTAATATTACTAACGATTAAAAACATGGGCATTTGTACTAGCAAACCATAACCAAGATAATAATAGAAACTCGAAGTTCGAATCCAAACTATCACAAACACTCAAGCAGACAGGTAAATATCTTAAGCATCCTTTTATCGTTCTATTGATAGAGGCTATTAAATTGCTCAAGAACACGATGCCTTTTGAAACCCCACTCAATAAGACTAATTAATGAACTTAATACACTTTATATATTTTATAATATATTTCTACCATCAATCAACTCTCTCACATATATATGAAAATATCAATCATTTTATTATTCTTTATACAACTTCCTAAATATTATCACAACCAGAACGTATCACACTAATTTTTATATTCATTTTCTCTTCAAAAAACTAAATAAATCCAAACAAATTATTACCTTCATTTTTAAAACATCACCTCTTCTTAATTAATCCAAATAATAATGAGACACTCCATTACATTCTATTCCAATCTATTTACTTGGAATATAAAAGTCTATCCTAAAAGGTAACACTTCACAATAATCTCTAATATACTCCACTTTCTCTTCTTTCAAACATGACTCAACAACACTCTCTATATATGAAGGCATCACTTATTAAGTTAAACTATATTCCTTAATTAGAGTCTCTAATTTTACTAAATAATTTGATTCTTCATTTGTTAAACATTAATGATATCTTAAAGCTTAATAAAATTGTATTAATGTTTAATTAGTTACAAAATTTACAGATGATTTACCTATTATTTTATTTCTCTAAAATTTCTTATTATTTAATATTAATTCCTCACTAAATTATTCTATTTCTCTTTTGTATTTATCAAATAGATAATTATAAAATGATTAATCTTACAATAATGATGCTGTCAAAATACTAAAACTTAATAATCCTTTGTCTAATTTACTAAATTCTTATGTCAAATAATCTGGTGTATCTTTTATCTTCTCAATAATTCTCTATTTTAATTTTTCATAATGAATTGTAGAAAATTAAGCAATATCATATAAAATTCTAATTAATAGAAATGGTCTTGTCTAATTTATTCTTTCTATAAAATATTATTCATCATGAACTCCACAAATAAATTATGCTGCAAAATAATAGTATAATTAACTCTATCCTAATTTTTCTCTTAAACTAATATGTATTTTTTTTAATTTATCTATTAAATCCAATTCTAAAGTTTTTAGTGATCCTATTTATTAAATTAAGTGACACCATTCTCCAAAATTTCTTTATGTAACAGTTACCATTTTAGCAGTTTCAGGCATAAATAATACTTAAGTTTACTTAATTTTATTTGCTACAAAATTTATTAATGCATCATGATTTTAATTTAATGCCCCTTCCTAAATTTTCTATTCTATTTATTTATTTAATATAACCACTTCTTCTATATTCTAACATATTCTTAATGATTTTATTATCAAAAACAATTAATTTGAATCACATTTAGATAGATTATTCATAAAATATGTACATTAATATTTTAATAATTCTACTTTAAAATCACCTATCTATCTATAAATTTATGAAAGATGAAAGAAATAAGCAACCATTTAACTCATATTTATTGCTTAATTCTTAATAATGTAATCAATAAACTATTGTTCATTTTATTTAAAATACTCTAAACTATTTGAATATGTAATTAAGTATAATAATTAATTTATTTATGATTCCAACAATCCCTATATTTAGATCTAATTCAATATGTTAATAAAAGAAATATTGCTTTTTTTAAAAAATTCAGAATTCTTTAAAATCACTAAGTTAACAGATCTAATTACTTTAATTAAGCTAAGTTAAAACTTTACCCTCCTCTTTTGGAGAGATCTTTAATTAATTTAGGTACTTATTCAAAATTTCAGTATAATTTGATTTTAATCTTCCTGGAAACAAATGTATTTATGGTAAGATGATCATAATCTCTTCAATACTAGGTTAAGAAAAATGTTCAAATAGAATTTATTGATTCTGTCTTACTTATTTTGAAACTATTATTTAATCTAGAATTTATTATCTTTTTTCTTATTTCATTACTTATTAACCTAATTCTGCAACATTTTATATATTCATTTATGATTCAGAACTATCTTATTTTTAATTTACTTTCTATTAAATAAGATCTATATATATTTTTATATATTTCTTTTAAACTTCAGATTCCTTTAATTAAAGTTATTGCATTAATTATTATACTTTTGGATCCAATATACTTATTTTAATACTTTAAATTATATGTTAAATTAATTTGTCTTTCAATACAAAATTACCAAATTAATCTTGCAATATCAAAGTTAAAAGTTATTCCAAAATCAAAGAATCTTTCTTCATATCTAATTTATAAGCTATTCTTGAATAATCTTTCAAATCTGTGATTTTTGTGATACTTTATACAGGAGGCAAAACATCTTTTATCATTTTACGTATCTCTTAATAATTATCTTAATCCTTTAATGTAAAGAGCATTGTATTTAAAGTTGCTAATTCCTTTTTTCTTAAATAGGCTGTCGAGATCACTTCAGATTCAAATGATTTGACTGCTTATTTTATATGTGAAAAAAATGCAATTACCTTATATTAAAACATTTATATTTTTAAACTTAATTAACTTCTTAAATTCAATATCAAGATCAGTATCAAAATAATTGTAATGATATTTAATAATATACAAAATCATATATATTTATACAATATTTGGAGAGATTATGTTTTCTCCAACTTATCTATCCATTTTTTATTTTTCTTAACATCTTAGAGAACTTATTCTTTTAAATTTGTATTCTCTATTAATGCCAATAATAAGTATATTGCTTTACTTATAAGTGTTACTTTCAAATTCTATATCAAAAGGCTCTTTATTTTTTAACAGTAATTATCAATAATCTCTTTAAATTCATTTTACTAATTTAATATATATTATTAATACAGCAATTTCTTATTATTGTATAAGACATTTAGCAATTCTCTAAGCTTCTGGTTAAGTCAATATCCAATAATTTCCATTTTATTCTACTTCTCTACTGAAAATAGTGTCAACTTTAAAATAAAGTAATTATTTAATCTAATTTTTAATGAAGTCCAATGCTTAAATTTATGAATACTTTATAATATATTAAATAAAGTAGCAAATAAATTAATTTATATTGCTTTCCAATAATATATTAGTTTCACTTTATTACAATGAATTCAAAATTGATTCAAAACAATAATCTTAAAGTTCTTTTACTCTAATTTCATCATCTTTTAAACTCACTGTGTTTTATAAACCAATTGTATCAAATTTTATGTCATCTCTAAGTTTAGGTTAATAAATAGATTAAATTATTTTAAATACATGAATAGAATTTAACCATTCAGGTAAGATATCTTGTAAAATAGATTTATTAACTTATTTAGTGTCATCATATGTAAATATAACTTTTTATAATGCTAAATAAAATTATGAATTTCTGTGTAAATGTTCTTAAGATTATTACATATATGTTTATATATTTTTTAAAAAGTTCTTCCTTTCTTTCTTATCTGTAACATTTAATATTGCACAAAATATCTAAATATTTAATCAATTAATACTGAAATGCCATCTTTATGTCTAAGATAATCTAGATTTTCTAATTATTAAAAGTATTCAATAACTTTTTATCTCTCTTCTGGTACTAGATTTGGTAATGCCACTTTTAAAATTTATAAACTAAGTAAATGATTATGAATTCCTTTTTCAATTATTTTCATTGCTAAATTATCAATTTTTTCACTGTGATTTAAAAACAATTATTTTACTTTATTGATTTATTAAGTAGTTGCTTCTCTTGTTAAGAATCTATCTAATACAATACTTGCATCCCCTTAAGCTACATAATGATTAGCATTTTTTAATAAAATCTCAAAAAATTAATTTCTAAATTCAGGAACCATATTTCTAACCATAGTAATTCCAATATAGTGACCATATTTTGATTATAATAATTCTCCAAATTGTTTATCATTTAATAATTTTGAAAATATTTATTATCTTATATTTTGATCTGCACATTTAATTACTAATTAAATTGTTCTACCTCCAATTTTAGTTTAAGCAATTTAATATAAAATACCTTCAATTTTATTATATACTTCTCCAGCTTTTTATTACTTTTCTTCATTCTCTTTATTTCTATGTTAAATTAAAAATCGAATATCCTCTTTTAAAAATGAAATGAAATCAACATCTTTGCTTATTTTATTCTAATTTTTAGCAATTTTTTTTTATTTTTTATTATCTGCTTTTGCAATCACCTCTTAGACTTCTTCTGGCTCTTCATTTTAATTTTCTTCTACAATTCTCTTTTTCCCCATATATTAATTTTATAATTTATATTTAAAACATTATTCATAATTAAAATTTAACATCAATACCCTTATATTAAACAATATATTTATTTATATCCTTATTAATTACATTATTTTATCATTCTTATTAAATAATACTTAATTAAGATATTAAATTGAATGAAACAGATGATAAAAAAGAATTATTGATTATTTTAATTGATTTAAAATATTATCTAATTTCCTTTTCTAAAATCATTTTAATCTGAATACAAATATATAGATGTATTAACTCATTAAAGAAAATCACAAATTAAATTAATTATTACAAAAGAATAAGTTAGTTTATGCTAAAAATATAATTTATATTATAAAGAATATCTAGAAAAAATAATTAGAATTTGAATAAGATTTTATTTTCAATAAATAAAAATCTTAAATTCTTTTTGTACAAAAATTAAAGTTGAATTAAAAAATAGTAACTTTATTTTATCTATTTATAAAAGTTGAAATTATTGAAAATAATGAATGTATAATATGTTTATATGATTACATATATATTGTTTACATTCTCTAATTTAACCTCATGGTTACAAATGTTTCTACAATATTACATTATTGTAAATTTTACATAGTTCTGCCCATTATATAATTGGATCAATCTAACCTATTAATTAAGATTAGATTGGAATTTGAAAATTCAACATTTACTGTTATTACATAATATCTAGAAAAGGATTAACAAAGTTTATTCTTGGTTATTAATTTAGTTGATTTTACATTTACAATCTATCAAACTATGGTTATTTGAATTATTATATTGACAATTTATCTGATATGATTGGCTAATTATTTTATGAATAAATAAGAGCAGTTTATTATGATGGAAGGAATTAATTATTAAAAATGAATGGGGAAATTGGTGATTGGAACATGTTAATTTATGGAATTGATTATTAAATATTGGAAGAATTATAATTAAAATGATCACATTTTAATTAATTTTCTTCCTTTATATTAATTTAATTTGCTTAAGGAGTACAATAACTTGGAGAACTTGCAATATTTTATAATCCTAAAAATAACATTATGTATACCTGAATTATTTTCATTGTTTTAGTCCTCATTAGGACCATATTACTTATAACTATCATCATTTTATTTTTGATTTTTTGATCTTGTCATTCTTTGGAAAGTTTTTATATTTTAATCTGACACCTAAACCTTTTTGATTTTTTCAGGCTCTTTAGTACTTTTCTAAGATCTTCTCCTTATCTATTATTTGCTTTTATCTTCATCTGAAGAATTTATAGATTCTTCTTAGAAATCTTCATCATCAGAATCACCTAAATCACATTAGTATCTTCTTTTTAAGTTTGCATAGAATCGATTTTTAACCATGTTTTCCTAAATATTTATATATAGAAATATACAGGTCTTCCATTCAAAAAACTTGAAATATAGCTCCATTTAGTTCCAAACTTCTTATATAATTTTAATATCAATTTATCTTCCTCTTCAGTCCACTTTTCTTAGTTAATTGTTCCTTAAAGTTAGTTCAAATAACGCTCTCTAACTTATTTTCCTGTTCTCCAATTCATCACTGTACATATCTTGCTCCATTTTTTACCAAATTTTTAGACTAATTCTTTCAATTATTCATCCTCTTCTGGTGACCATAACTATCTAGAAGGTGTCTTAACAATTAGAATTTCATTACTTAATCTGGATGGAGTTGTTGCCATTTAAACATACACTCTAAAGGTGTTGGTCCATTTAGTAACGAACTGATTGATTTCCAGTTCCCTTATTAAAACACATGAAGTTCTTTAAGTTTTTCTATACTCTTTGTTGTCCATGTGAACTTTGACTATATTTAATTATATGTTAAATAATACTTCAATAGGAGTCTCTTTAAATTCATATTCATGCTTAGAATTAGATGCAACACTCATTCTTTTTACAGAAAATTATTTTTAAATATAATGAAAAAATCATACATTCTTGATTCCTTTTATATACATAATGTGACGAATTATTAATCATAAAATCTTTTCTAATCATTTTATTATATTATCCCACGTATTGTACATATTACATTTTCAATATGCAACTTTATTTGAAAAAATGCTAAACTTTAACGTCTATTATCATATATTACAAAATTTCTTTCGAAAATATTTATCATCACCAATAATTTCTATAGCAACCCCCTTTTTTAGTATGTTTTTATTATTTAATAAAGTATTTATTTTTAAATTTTTTCTGTTACTATGTATCAGCGTTACCGATTATAGAATTACATCTAATTTAATTCAAGTCCATTATAAATACATGATATCTGCTATGGTACAGAAACTTTTTCTTAAATTTCTTCATCAAAGTTGTCAATTGCCAAAGCTCTCTTTTATGCTCCATGATCATACAAGTATACTCATTTGATGTTTTGATAGTACTAATAGTAACCTAAATACCATCTAATCGATTATTAAGATGGGTATATTGAGAGGATTTTTCTTTTGAGAAGTATCTTAAAATAATAGAAGCAAAGTAATTTTGCATTATTTACTAGGTTCTTTTAATTTGATATTGTATTATTAATATGATAATAAATAAGTTTCTTCGACAAAAGTGAATGTAGATATTTTTCATTTACTATTTTTATTGGAAATATATCAGATTTATATCGATTTCTATATAAAAGTAAATTTTTTGTTGTATTCTAAATATAAATGAATATCATAGTGAGAATGATATTTGAGATTTTTAAATAATTTCTTTGATTTCCTATTTTAAAATCTACTATTTATACATAGATTCATAAAGTTAACCCAGATGATGATAAGCGTTCTAATTTCTTGATAAATTATTTAAGGAGAAATTTTAAATCTATTTTATCTTGGGATAGGGATAAAAAATACAGATTATCAAAATATTGAAGATTTGCAACTTTATAATTGTTATTTAATTAACGACTTTGAATAAATAAATATTTGGAAGTTACTATTATCGTTATAGATATCTTAATGACAACAATAATAAACTAATTTTATTGAATACTTTAGCTGTAAATGAAAATACAATAAAGTAGTATTTACAATCCTAAATTCATGAAATATTAAAAAAAGAATCAGATTTATCTTAGAATATTATTTCTAAGAAAAGAGAATCTGTTTAACAATATTCAAAAAATATGATTCTAGATTTTAACTATATTATGGAAGAGATTAATTATTCTATAAAATAAAATATATTTGTATATTGAGGATTTAAATAAAGATAATATATATATTTATTACAATTTAGATTAATAGAAATCACTTAAGAAGTTTTTATAGTCTTCTAATTTCAGAAGCATGATATAATAATTATGCCTTTGTAAAAGGATCAAAAAGGATCTACTAAATCTAAAAAATATCAATAACACCAACTGAATTTATGGATAATTAATATTATTTCTTTGCATCATCAGAGTTACTGTTTTTAATAGTTAAAATTCATATTCAATAATACAAATTTAAATTTGCTATAGAATTCTTTACTTATAGATTTACTAATCCTATGAATATTAGTGGATCATAAAGTCAATTGAGTAATGGTAAGTTAATTATTGATAGCATTTAAAGGGCATTGTTTAATAAAAGCTTAGTAAAATAACATTAAGTAGAACTTATACCAAATAACACAATTGAATTTTTGGTGTATTTTAATTTAAAATTCTAAGAATATATTAAAAAAGGGTTAAACTAATTTTAAATAGAATAGAAAATAATTGATGAGAATTATAAAAACTATCTATCCAGTAAAGCAGAATAATAGAGAATTATTATTGTATTTTGATTCTAATTAAAAATAAAACTAAATAATTTATCATAGTATTAAAATTGAGTGTTTATTATAGCAAGAATTAGGTCATTATTGAATGTAAATTTCATTTAAGTAATGTTTAGGCTTTACAAATGATAAGATTTATATTATCTTAATTATAAAATTTATTTCTCATTAATAAAAAATAAATCACTTGCTTTTAAATTAATAAAGTTAGATAAAGAAGTTTTAAGCTGAACAACCAGAAGAAGTGAAACCATAATTTGATTTATTTCTTTATAAATAGTTATATTCTATTATTTTAATTAATATATATTTGTAAATCACTAGGGCAATTATAATTTAGATATTTAATATTATGATTTATTATCTAATATTACTACTGCAAATAAATTTCATTGTAAAATTGGTTTTATTTATTTAATTATATCATAAATGGGGTGTGGAGCATAAAAAAATTCAGCATGTCTTAATGAAAAACTTAGAGCAAAAGCTTTAGAAATATTTCGAAGAATAGACATAAATAATTCAGGTTCAATAGATAAAGATGAAACTTAAAAATTTTGGAAAACAAATTTTGCTAAAGTTAATACTTAAGCTTTATTCAATGCAGTTGATTTCGATAAAAGTGGACAAATATCAGAGGATGAATGGATGGCTTTTTGGGAAATAGTTAAAAAAAGTGGTTATACTGACAAAGAAATCTCTGAAGAAGTATTTTGTGTATCAATAAGAATAGTTAGATAATTTAATGGAAGGAAAGGCATGGGTATAATTTAGAAAAGTTGATGAATTCGTGAAACGAGATCAATAAAGAAAGAACAGTTAAGTTTAATAAATAGTAAAATAGAATTCAAAAAGAAAGTCACTTGTATAATAATAATAAAGCTTTCATCAAGAATGAATTTATTATATATCTTCATAATTTAATATTACTTATAATATAAATGCTATAATTTGAATATCCAAAATAATGAATATTAAATAAGGGGGTATAGATATAATTATATATAATTTTAGTAAATATTTTTATGATTAAATTGTTTAGTTGTCTTTTATACAAAAGAGTATGATATCAATCTTCTAAAAAATTTTCAGAGATTTAGATCATTTAATTTTGAATCGTATTAATTTATTGTTAATTTATTTACATTTTCTAAATTCAATATTATATATATGTACTTTGTAAATTTCTAATGACTTTGAATAATCATTATATGCTTATTTAAATCTTCCTAATTCCTTATGACAATCTGCACAGTTTTTTAAAGTAATAGCTAAATTGCCATGCATTTCTCCACATAATTAAGTATAAATTTTTATAGATTCTTAGAAACAATTTACAGCTTCTTCATATTATTTTCTCTCATAATATGATCTTCCAAAATTGTTTAATATTATTGCTATGCTTGCATGACTTTAGCCATATAATTCTTGCAAAATTTCTTATGATTTTTAGAAATACTCTTCAAATTCATTTGAACATTTATTATAAGCCTTAATTTTACCTAAAGAATGATAGCAATCAGCTATATCTTATGAGGTATTTCCCATAATTTTAATATTAATTTGTAGACTTTAAATTATTAATTATTCTGCTTTTTCTAAATCTACAAAATAATAATTATTTATTTACTTTCTTGAGTGCTTTTCATTCTAAGATATAAATTTCCTTTAAGATAAATTGATTTAGCTGTTTTGATATGCTCATAACCTAATACATTTGTCCAAATAGATATGGCTTAATTGATTGAGAACATAGCATCTTAAATTTTTCCCTCATCTGAAAATAATTAAGCCAGTCCATGTAATGAGTCAGCAACTTCCTTAACATATTTATAAATTTTACTATAGAATCCCTTGAAAATAATTCTTCCCTAATTTTGATGCTTTCATATAACATTTATTCTGCCAAATCATCCTAAAACATGAATCTATAATAATTCCCTAACTATGTTAAAGTTAATGCATAAACTCCTGTATTAGTAAGGTTATTTTAGATAAGTAATTATTAAGCATAATCTAAATATTTGAATGTCTATTCATAATAACAACAGTAGAAACAACATCTTCCTTAAATTTAATCTATATACTTTAATTACCTATTTTTGCATATGAATTACAGAGTCTCAAAATACTATCTGTATTATTAGATGCTTTACAAATATCTTTCTCTATTTTTATCATCTTAATCAAGTATTACATTGCTCTATAAACTTAATTAATATCAATGAAAATTGTTGCAAATCTCTCATATATATTGCTTTATATAATCTAATTCTTTATTATGATATACATAGTCATCTTCAATCATTTCCTCTGGATTGATAATCCTCTAGTCAAGTTGATTTTGGAGTTCTTCAAGTTTCTTGATACTTTTCTAAAAGTTCTGCTTCTTAATGAGAATGTCAATTTTTTTTAATTATTCTTCCATTTTTTTTGTGACTAAATAAAATTTTATTAAATTTTTATAAAAGCAAATAAGAATTATAAATTAACACTATATCAATTCAAATATTATCAATTAAATTATGTTAATAGAATTGATCAACTTAAAACAATGAGCATTATTAAATATATATTCATATATTATCTTCATTTTTATTTAAATTCTAAACAAAATTTATGGATTTCTTATAAAAAATGTTTAGATAAGCTTTATTTAATATGAAAATATATTTTATTATAAGAATTATAACAATGAAAATTAAATGATTTTAAACTCCATATCAAGTGATAATTTTATAATATAAATAATATTCAAAATTCAATTCATTTTATTTCTGGTTTAATTTTCATTATTAAAAGACTTCTTTTTTTTAATTTTTATAATAAATTATCATTATTTTATTATAAATTAATTCATACATTTTGAATTCTTCAACATGAATTTCAAATTGAATTTATCAAATTATTTGTTATCACAAAGAATAAATGATTGAACATAATTTTTTCATTAAATGCTAATATTATAGTGAAATTAAATTTATAATCATACTAAATATAAGGTTCGATTATTAAACAGTAAACAAAAAAATTATCTATAACACTCTTCTTTATTTATAATAATTAAATTAATTAAATGTGTTGTTCGAGAAAATAAAAAACTAACACTTAAAGAGAAGAAATAAATAAATTAGGAAAATTGACAAGACTTACAGAAACGGAATTGATAGAATTAAAAACTAGATTTGCTAGAATGTCATAGGGTTCTAATTTTGTTACTAAGTTTTAATTTCGAGATAATTTGGGTTTACTTGGCATGGGTACAATGCTTCATTTATCAGATAGAATCTTCCATATTATGGATGATGATAAGGATGGTAAGGTATGTTTTTAAATGAAATCTATTTAGATTCGGTTTGAAGATTTTGCTTTGTATTTTGATAAAGTAAGTCATGGAGATGCTAGAGAAAAGGCAGAGATAAGTTTTAAGTTGATTGATAAGAACAAGGTTGGAAGCTTCACATCTGCTGAATTTAATGATACAATGTAAGGAGTGATTAATAGTTGGATAGCCATGACTGGATAAAATTTAACCAGCGAAACTAAGAAATAGATTGATAAAAGAATCAAATTAATTTTCTAAACTATGGATGTTGACAAAGCTGATAAAGTTACTTTATAACAATATCAGGATTCTGTAGTGGCAGATCCAGCACTCTTAGAAATATTTGACTTTGCTAGAAGAGGTGTTACACTTGAAACTATAGATTTTAGTATTTAACAATAAGCTAGATATGTATAAAACATAGAAAAAAAGCTAGATCAATTACTAGAATTTATGAAATAAGATAATAAAAAATAAGATAAAGAACTTCCTCATTTTGTTTAAGGAACTACTGAATAAGAATAAAAATTAAGAAATAGTTAAGTTGAAAATCTTCATTCTCCAATTGTTAGTTTATTTAAATATGAAAGTGAGGAAAATAATCATAATAATAATAATATTAATAATAACAATAATGATTAAGGAAATAATAAATTCTTTACTTCAGAGTAATTTGCATCATTTAATAATAATCATTCTAATGAATTATCTATAGAACATTTAAGGAATGATTAAAACTAGGATTTTTCATTTTATGGATAATATAAACCTAAAACAAAATAAAAAGCATTATTTCAATAAATTCCATAAAAATAAATTGAAGGAGATAATTCAGAACCATTAGAAGAAGATTAATTTAATTAGACAGACCAAAGTTTTGAAATTGATAATTAGAAAAATCTTTTTAATTAATATGTAGATCAAATGAGTGCTGATTAACTTAAAGAAAAGTACAAATCAATGATTACATGTGTTTAAGAAATTAGTAAAGAAGTTTAAAGATTGAGAGAAGTAATTGATTAAAATTAAGTAAAACAATAAAAAATGGACATTATAGATTAGATTAATGAATAAAGAATACATACAATAATTAATATACCAAGAAAATAATCATCTATTAAAAATTAAAAATAAACAAAAAAACCTAAAATTAGTGTTTCATTTGGTCATGAAAATTTTAATTTAGTTTTAAATATGATGATTGGAATTTAAATGGCAGTAAGTAGTATTAATATAGCTGATGATTATGAAGTAGGTCCAAAAGATTTTAAATTAAAATATTATTTTGAACTTCTTCCAAGAAGAGCATAAGGTGATAAAAGTTCTTTTAAAGTATGTTAATTTTTTGATTATGCTCCACGAGTATTCAATAGTATTAGAACTATATATGGAATAGATAATCATTAATATCTAAAAAGTATTGGACCAGAATCTATTTTATAATCATTAATAAAAGGAGATCTATCTTGTTTATAAGAATTAACATCAACAGGAAAAAGTGGAAGTTTTTTTTATTATACAGCAGATGGATAATTTACTTTAAAAACAATTCATCATCAGGAATTCAGATTTCTAAAATAAATTATGAGAAATTATTATTACCATATAAAAAACTATCCAGAAACACTTATTATAAAGTAATATATATAATATATTTAATATTAAGATTATTTGGAATGCATAAGATAGGAATAAAATATTAAACTATGTTAAGAGAGAAAGTTATTTATTTTGTTATAATGAGTAATGTTTTTTCAACTCATCAAGAAATTAATATTAGATATGATTTAAAAGGTTCAACTTATGGAAGATACACTTTTGATAAGTTATTATTTATTATATTATTTAAGTGATCCAACTGTTGCTAGAAAAGACTTGAATTTCTTAGCAGATATAGAAAAGAATATAAAATTAAATATCAATAAGAATAAATCAATGTTATTTTTCAATTAATTAGAAAAAGATTGCAAATTTTTTGAAGAGAATGATATAATTGATTATAGTCTGTTATTAGGTTTGCATGTTAAAGGAAATAAATAACTTGATAATGAATCATCTGTATATTCAGAAAATCCTTAATATGATAATTTCAGTAAGATGGTAACTATTGATAATCAATACACTTTACATATAGGAATAATTGATATATTAACAAATTTCAGTACCAAAAAGAAATTAGAATTTTTATCAAAAAGAGTCATTTATGGTCCAACAATATCAGCCATACCTCCAAGAGATTATGCTGAAAGATTTCTAAAATTTTTAAAAGATCATTTATTTGCGAATTGAAAAATTATTACTCATTCATTTAAACTGCTTATTACTCTACCCAACACCATCGATGTTTATCTTACTTATCTTGATATTAATTATAAAGGTCCTAATTTTTATTCTAGAACATCAATTTCATCATGAATTTTATATCTTTGCATTGAAATTTTTTTTACAGATAATTTCTATTCTTCATTAGGCATATTCATAGAATGTTAGATTTTAAGAACTTATTAAGTTTCCTTTTAAATCTATATGAATTTTATGAGAATTAATACATTATCGCTAATTCGATTAATTTAATGAATTTCATTTGATAATAAAAGATTATCTATTGTTTGTGTTAAATATACTAAATCATCATATAGAGATAAATCAAATTTATCTACAATTTTTTATTCTCCATTTATATACTATATTTCTCTAATACAACATAATTTACTAATTTCAGAGAATTCTACCAATTCTTCCCCATTTTACTTTAGTATTATTTTGCGTAGATTTTTTTTTAATCCAATAAGTTACTTAATAACTTAAAACAGTTTTCTTTCATTGTTAATATATTTCTTAAATAAAATTATAAGATCATACTTTAAGATTATCTAAACTATAAACAAGTGAAAAGATCTATTAACTAAATTTGATATATGATTAAGATTAAGGATTTCTAACATTTGATGCTAAAGTAAGAGGTTTTTTTGTAGAATTTTCTTTTACATTTTTAAATTTAATATCTCCATATTATATGATTTCAGTTTCAGTTCTTACTTTCTTAAAATTATTTTATTTTTAAGTATTTTTTTAAGATCTTAATGTATTCAAATGATCTAAGTAATCTTTGATTGCTTTATCATTACTTTATTCTGTTCTAATTGTTAAGTTTTATTTATAAGTTTTATTTTTTGGTGAAGGTTTACTAATAACAGGAAAAGTAAAATTTGTTTTATTTGCTTACATTTCTATTATTGATTATGGTTTATTACGACTCATTTTTTAAGTGGTTTAAGTCTTTTATAATGATCTTATAGTTGTAATAGAGTTAGTTTTATAATTTTTGAAAGGTAAAGTTTCATTAAGGTTGAAATTTGGTAATATTAGATGATGCTTTAAAATAATACTCATTAATTATATTAAAATGATTTTAGATTTTCCTGATAATCTAAATTCAAGTCAATCAATAATGCCTGAGAAATAAACAAAAGATTGGCATTCTGAATTGAAATTTTTACATTACTTCCCTAAAAATAAATGTTTTGGAAAAGAAGAACAAGAAATTACCAGAAATATTAAAAATATTGAAATGCATTATAAAGTATTCATTATTGTATAAAAAGTAAAAAGTATAAGAAATGGTATCATAAATATTAACAGATGAATAAGGCACATTAAATATTATACCTAAAAAAGCAAATATTGATTTGAAAAGAGCAATCTAACCTAAATTAGACAAATTAAAAAAAAAAACAGAAAGGGCTATAGTGGATATATTGAGTAATTAATTAATATAATTTCAAGATGAAAGATTTTTTAAAAAAGAAGTTGATAAAAAGGAAGAAGTCATAGAACCATAAATTTCAACTATTGTAGAACCAATAAAAGACAATATTAATGTCTATGATAAAGAAATTGAAATAGATGATGATGATTATGATGATGATTACGAAACATTATGATTAATATGATTAATTAAAATAATTCTAAAACTCTTGTATCAGTTAATATTAGTCAAACAAACAGGAGAGTTTAATAATTTGTTAATTAAGATTTAAAAAGAATTTCAAGAAAGAGAAAGAATTCTAACCTAAAATATCTTAATGCAACTGAAATATCAAAAACCATTTCATCCTAAGAATCAATTTTTAAAGAAGAAAATAATAATGATGACAACAAAACCATTAATTAAATAATTGAAGATGCTTATTAATTAAAAAGAAAACAATTTAACTTAAATTCTTCTTTAAATAGCAGTAAAATTTTACCAAATGTTTAAACTTAACAAAAATTACAACATTCAATTCAAGATAAAGACTATTATCAACCTTAAAAATAAACAAGCATTAGTAAAATTCATTTAACTTAAAATGATGATTCCATTTTAAGCGATACTAGTCATAAATTGAAAACACTTTCTATTGTATAGCGTAATCAAGCTAAAATTAAATTGAAAAAAAATGATCATTCAAAACCTTCCCCTAATTCGACTTTCAAAAGTAAATTACTTTAAACTCAATTAAAAAATTAGAAATAAGAATAAAATTTTCGATTTCCTTTAATTTGGTAATAATCATCTATTGCTATGCCTGAATCTGAAAAAGTCAAAACTAAGGTTTGTTTCTAAAAATTAAATGAATAATTTGAATAATTGAAAAATGAAAAAGTATTGGAACCTTTCATAAAGAATCAAAATTTAAAAGTAAAATTAATGACATAATTAATAATTAGAAATGATAAACCATATTTTGTAGCTGAAAATAAAGATAATAGTAATTATATCTATTAATTTAGAAAATCTTATTGACAATATGAAAAATGAGAATACAAATTCTTACAAGGACGAATATTTAATAATTAGTTCTAAAAAAATTTTAGAATATATATGAAATATTTATGTTTTATAAAATAAAAAAAACCCTATATATAATTTATTATAATTAATATAAAGTGATATCATATAAATATAATGTAATGATTATATAAATCTTTTTATAATATATTAATAAAGAAACATATCTTTAATTTACACAAAAAGATGTAAAAGCAATATTTCTAATAAATATATTAAAAAATTTAAGCATATCAAAATATATTGCATTAATCTTAATCAGTGCAATTTATGATTTGTTATTAATAAGGTTATTTATGATGAATAGCTGACATCTTGTTTTTCTATTTTTGAAAAGTGTAATTTAGTTTATGGCATATATGAACATTACCATAGACATCATAAAATGGTGAAACAAATTTATAATGTCTTACTTTTTCATCTGGCATTTCCATATATTTTAGAACAGCTCTTTAAGCATAAGGACATTGCTCTAGAACTTCATTTAAAATTGAGGCCACTTATATTTCTTTACCATCTCTAATAAAAAATTGTAATAATTCTAATTTTTTCTCAAGTCTATGTAGAGCCAAATATCTACAACTTCCTTTTATTGAATGAGCCAATTATTCAAATTTTAAATAAGCTGGTGTTCCAACTAACTACCAACCTCCTTTTTCATATAAATTTATTAATTCATCAAATCCCTCTCCATCTTAAAAATATGTTAAAAATAAGGTTATAGCTCCTTTTACCATTGTTTCATCTGGTAAGTATTCTAAAGCTGTTTAAACATCAAATATATCATAACTTTCTTAAGGGAAATGGTTAGACATAATATATAGGTATTATTAATTATAAAAAATATATATAAATATAAAATATCAAAACAAAATTCCTTTAAATTTAAAGGTAATATTACTAATTCGATCTACTATAAAGAGGATACATCTTTGTTAACTTTTATTTAACAATACAAAATTCTATAAATATTAGATAGAAGAATTATTTATAAAATTTATTGATAATTTAAATTGAAATGAATTTAATACATTTTGACTCCTTATGTAATGATTGCTGCTTCTCAAGAACATTAGAAGTAATTATAATTTTTAAGTTTAAAGAGCAAATAATAGGCTGAATAGATAATTTATCAATTTATTGAGGATATAAGAAATATTGATATTTTATGTTAGATCATACAATAAACTCAATCAGGGTCTACTTTATTTGTGATATCAGAATATATAGCTAAGATTGTAGTTTCTGAAAGATCTTTTAAAGGATTCTAATCAGATGATCATAGTTCATTAGATGGATAATCAATTTTGGGACAATCTTTAAATAAAGTAGAAAATGATGTGTTGGACAAAAAATGTATAGTATATGAAACTTTGGTTTCATTATTTTGTGTAAGTCTTTAAAAGCAATAAGAAAATCATGTATAAAATTCAATCTGTAATTTGGTGGGTTTGTTGATTCAGTAAATAATGATGATGAGTAGTAGCTTATTCGAAAAGTATAAGTTAGTTTTTAACTCATTTTTTTAAGGGAATCAACCATATCTTGTTTCTATAGGTTTAAAATTAGTTTAGCATGTTTTATAAAATTTATAACTCTATTCATCATATGACTCTTATGTTTCATATAGAAAAATCATTTTTTAATTTTAAAATAGTGATATTATAGACTTTATGTCAATTGTATGCACAGTTTTGAAATAGTGCACTGTAAATCTATATAAGCCAGCATTAACTTCACTTAAAGATATTTTGATGTTTAATTTTAATATAAGTTACTTTGAATTAGAATAAGATTTTGATCCAAATGATCAAAACAATGTTAGTGTAAAAATAATATTTAATATTTGATTAGTTTCCTGATAAATTTGCTGAGTATTTTAATGATAGACAATTGCTAGATATATTATTTAAGATAGTAGCTTAATATAATTAAATTGATCCATCATTAGCTTTGTTAGCTTTGAAATCATTAAAGAGAATGGCTTCATCAAAGAAGAGAATATTTAATGAGAAAATAAAAAAAAGATTATTTGCAAAAGAAATGTATTAAGGTTGCATTTTTCTTTTTGAGAAAGTATAATAAGCTAATGAAGAAATAGTAAGTGATATTCTTGAGTTAAATACTAAATTAAATAATTGTTTTGGTTTGAGATAGATTAGATTTGATTTTACATTTAGTTAATAATGGTTATATTGTTTATAAACATTTTGTATTTAAATTTTACAAAAATAAATGAAAATTAAGGATCTTCATATGTATTAGATGATAGAACTAATGAAGAAATTAATTAAATGTATAACTGATTTTAAATTGGATATTACATTTAAATAATCAATATCAAAAGCTTTATCTGAAATAGGTAAATCAATTATTCATTTATTATTGAATTCTCCAAATTCTTTTTTTCATGGTTATACTCCTTAGAATCATAAAAAATTAAAGCATACTTTAAAAGAATTTTTTGAAAATCTTTTTCCAATTTTATCTATAGATTTAACAAGTCATTTAAAAATGATTTATCATTCATTTAAAAATGCAGCTTAAGATTAAGAAAAATTTATTATTGAATTAAGTTTAATTAATTATATTGTAATAAATCCATAAATTTTAGAAAAAAATAATGATGAAATAGTTTAAATGATATAAACATTAATAAAAGATTCATTAAATTTTTTGTAAGTTTCTATTCATAATTTACCACCTTTAGTTATTATGTCTGCAATGTCATTAGCAGATAATTTATTTTAATTTTGTTTAAGTGAATCAGATGAATCTATAGGTAGACAAAGATTCAACAAAACATTTTTTGATATATTTATTAAACCAATTCAAATTTAACCATAATAAGCTACTAATCAACTTTTATAATTCATAATTTTATAATTACAAATAGAAAATAAAGAAATAATAGAATATGCCTTAATAATTATGAAAGAAACAATTGTTAGACTTAAACATCATTTATATAATGAAGCTTTTTAAAGTTCAAATGTTGTAACTTAAATTAAAGGGATTTTATTAAATCTTAAAAATACAGCATTATAAAAAGATACATTTTTAAGTTGTCGAACATTAGCTTCTGAAATATTATCCATATTATTATTTGACACAGCTTATGACAATTATATTGAATCAATAATTTAATTAAATTAGTATTTAACAATACAACCAACATAATAATCAATATTAATTTATTTATATGAAATGCTTGGTTATTTTAGACATGTTGATACTAGTAAAATATTTAGATTACTTATTAAATAACATCTAATAAAAATAGCTGATTTAACTAGATTTATTTTAATAGATAATCCTCAATAATTTTAAATGTGTAAATTGTGTTTAAAATTAATGGTAGCTATAACTGAGAATAAGAGTTTGAGATATTAATATCATAGCTCTTCAATTGTATAAATTGAATTAGTTAGAACATTTTAAAATATTTTGACAACATATCTTCAACATTTAATGAATGCTATTCAAAATGAAAAAGTTAAATAGGAATATTCTGCTGAAATTTGTAGATTAGTTGGATTAATATTCAAAATTATGAATAATATAATGAAAGGTAGATATATTTCATAATCTTGTTAATTACTTTTTGCTGATAGAAAATATTTAGATTAACTTATAACAGCATTAGAAGTTACATTAAAAATTTCAAATTATATCATTATGTATAATAAAGCTTGTCTATAAATAGTATAGGTTTTATAAGTTGTTAGTTCATCATAGTTACAATTATTTGAATTGAATCCACAATCATTGACTACATTAATGGTTATTATTGAAAGCTTATAAAAACATATGTTAAGTTAATTATCACAAGAATATAAGATGTAAACTATATCAACATATCATTAACCAATAGATAAAGTAACTTTAGATCATACAACAGAAATTATTTTATCAGTATTAGAATTTGTATCAGAAGAATAGTAATTAAGTTAGATGGGAATGCTATAATCATTTGTTTAACCTTTAGATAGTGTAATAGAGCTTGTTTTGAAAGAATTATTATTATGTTTAATAAATGGTTAATGTTCATAACAAACTAATTAGAAAATAACAAGATAAGTTTTTGCTATAATGTGTACATTTTAATAAGTTTTTGTAACAATTTTAAGTAAAATTTTACTGAGATCTGATTAATAACTAGATCATTCATAACTGTAGATTTTAACATAAGATTTAGATCTCAGAATTAAATAATAAAATGAAGAATAATTTAAAAAAAACTTCAATCTATTTATGAAATAATTTGGAATTTGAGAATTATGATGTTTTATTTTGTTATTAAATATATTTAAATAATGAACAGAAGATTTATAACATAATATCCCTTATCACCACAAATGAATGACATTTCCAATCTATACAAAAAAAGTAGAATACAAGAGCAATTATAATTCTTTGATGAGATTATCAAAAAAGTCAAATTCAAAAAACCAGTACCACAACCTAAAAAAATTAAATTGCCCATTTCTATTTCATCAAAAACGATTTAATTATAAAGTGAACGATCTCTTTCTATTCGTTCACCTAGAATTAAAGAATTATCCAAGAAATAAATGTTGCCACCTATATCAAGATAAAAAGCATCAATTTCTGGTTGGGAAGTAAACAAATCCAATGATTCATTTTTATATTATTAATGAAAAACAATAATAATTAATAATTCAAGTAAGTCACTTTCTTATTTCGTAAGTATAAAATAGATTCTGATATCAATTAAACTCTCTCCTCTTAAAGATTTTCATCCATTAATCCTTCAAACAAATTATTACCAAAAATATAACCAATTCAAATACAATCATAACCTAATTCACCAGTTAAAGTTAAATCACCTAACATTAATTACCCTACTATAACAGCTACAAAAATGTAGATTGCTTTAATTGAATAGATGCATTAAACTATTCGATAGAAGCATTTTGTTTAATTATCAAATACAAAATACCAAAAAAAATAAGATAACTTTAGTTAAACTACATTAGATGAAGATAAGTTACTGCAATATTTAGATTGATTATACCTATTAACATATAATTTTTATATTTAAATAACACCAAATAACAATTTAATAAAACTAGTCTATTATTTTCAGTTTTTATTTCTCTGTTCTTCTAATTCATAATTATTAAAGTATTTATTAAGTTCTAGAATTATTTAAAATAATCAAATAACATGTTTTGAAAAATTATTTTTATTAAAACAATGATTAAAATGAAATTCTATTCTTAATTATATAGAGTAAAATTTTATAAATTTATGTATAATAATAATATCAAACATATCATAAATCATTTACAACATTTAATGAGAATATAATATTAATTATTATATTTTTAGTTATTCTAGAATTCTATGAAATATTTATATATAAAATATAATCAAAATTTCAAAAAATTAGAAATATTTTTTTATGAAATTCTATATTTTATAGATTCTCAATGTTAAAACTATTAAATAGATATATTAATATCATTATAATTAATACAATGAATCTATTCATGGACCATTTTTTTAATAATTAGTTATAAAAAATTTCAATTTGTATTAATGATAATTATAAAAGAGAGAAATACTAAATTTTGAATATTTCATTTGCTTCATTATTTGATCTATATTAAGCTATTGTTCTACTATTTAATAATTTTATATGACTAAAAAAGTTCTTATATAGCTGATTAATCATCAATGGCATCTAATGAGTTATAATTTATAATATTATCAGGTTGAATTAATTTACCATTTACATTTTCAAAATTATATTAAATTTTAATTTCTAAATAATCTTTTAACAATTAAAATGCTTTTTAACATTATTGATTAGATCCATATTTGATATAGATATAAATTTAACTTTATTTTAAATATTTCTAAATAAATAAATTAATTTTTACAATTTATCCAAAGAAACAAAATAATTTGATAACAAAATTCATATCATTTAATATATCATATGTGATCAATACTTGAATGCACATAGTATTTTATTGTAATTTATCTAAAGCTGTAACAATTTTAGTTTCAATTGTTTTATTAATTTCATCATCTATTTAATTGAGTTTTGTAATAATATCACTCATTTTCTCTTCTGAAAATTAAGGTTCCTCTTCATCAGAAACTTCATCTGTTGAATTGTTATCAAATTAAAAGTCTTCCCATTAATTGATTCTAACTATTTCTTGTTATTCCTCATTTGATTCCATTTAATCAGCTGTATTAGAAGGAGGGTTAGTAAAGTCTAGACCTTTAGTATAAGGAACAGTATCAAGTTTTAGTTATTTCAATCTAGAATGATATACATTGCATGAAATTTAATTTAAGATTTTTGTGTTGTTCATAGATCTATTATAAAAAATTGAAAACTTACTTAATTGCATCAATAGCAGAATCAACTTCATCATATTCAATAAATACTTTTGTTTAAAGCTATCCTCTTTCAAATATTAAAATCTATTATATTATATATCACTATTTGGAATACTTTTGATATAGAGCCATATTAGGAGAAAATCTTTAATAAGGACTGATTATTGATTTAGATATTATTTTATGTTGTCTTCAAACAAACTAAAGCAACTCTTGTAGGTGTTGCTTCTATTTTTTTCTTTCTTTAGGACATTATTAATTACTAAAATAATTAATGTTATCCTTAAATTTCAAGTAACACAGAATTAAAGAGATTAACTTCTTTTCTGAATACAAAATACATAAGCAATCAAGTATCGATATATATCTGAGAATTTATTAGGAATATCAAAATTTTGCAAATGGTTTTAGATATTCAAACTATATTTATTACTTATAAAAAATATCTAAAGTTTATATTCATTAGAAACAAATATATTCAAAATCTTAGATATAAGTATTCTTATTTGAGTTCTCTTTTTTAAATGAAATAATAAACTTTTAGTTGAAGATTTTAGAAATTTAAGATAATAAACTTAGAGTTTATGGAATAATATAATTAGAAGAGTTCTATGCATGATGTATTAGTCTTTTTCATAATGTTAAACAAATATTAAAAATTAAAAAAAAAAGTTTAAATTTGAAATTAAAGTTCAGCATTCTTTTCTCTTTTAATTAAATATTATTAGTGTTAGTATGATAATCGGTATTAACATAACTTAAATTTAGCTATGAGAATATTAGAAGGAAATTAAATAAGATATTATTAATACTTAAATGTTAGTTTAAATTATTATATAAAACCAAACAAATATAATTTTAAATATTCATTTCATCTTATAATATAAAAGGTAAAATATCTTAGATGGAATATAGTTAAGATAAGGCAATCAACTTAATTTTTATCTATCTATCTATTAAAAAAAATAAAAATTAGCAATAATTATATTCACTTCAATAGAAATAATTTCTCTAATTACTTTAAATAAATAATCAAGAGAACTATAAAATCATAGTAATTATTAATTATTTTTTATTTTCTTTTAAAGATTTTATTTACAAGAATGAATTTTTTAATTTTAATAAAAAACACACTTATTTTCTAATAATAATTATTCATAATTTATTTTTATCGAATATTTAAATAGAACAAAAATGCTTAATGAAAAGAACTTTCTTGTATTAGAAAATAGATATATTTTCTGAATAAATTATTGATACTTAACTTACTAATTAATATTTCTAAATATTATAATATTTTTCTGATTAATTGAATCATAATGCTTCCAATCGATCTTGCCAAACTAGCCGCTTTGCAGTCTAAGGTATTTTACTCAATCATTATTTTTATAAAATGTATGCCTACCATATAAAAAACACATAAATATAATATTTTTATTTTAGAGATTAGAATCAGATTTCAAAGTGCTAGGAAGGATAGGAAAGGGCGGATTTTCTAAAGTGTATAAAGTAAGTAACCTTTTGGATAAAAATACTTATGCTTTGAAAGAAGTATAGAAAATATATATATTATAAGATTGAACTAAAAGGAAAAGACTTGAAGGAGAGTCATGAGAAGAATATTCAAAGAGCTTAAAGAGGTATTATGTTTTAATTAATAAGTTCCTTCTCAGAAGCAAAATATTTAGCCCGACTATCCCATCCAAAAATCATAAGATACTTCAATTCATGGGTTGAAGTAATGCCAAATAAGGTGGATTCTATAAAAATAAGGAAACAAGAGTAAGAAATAAATGACTTTGTGTTCGATAGTTATAATATTAATTTTAATGACTCAAAATAAAATTCAAAGAATGATCTAGAGAATATAATTTTTTTTAAAGATTCATAAAATGAATAGATTAGTTATTCTGAATAAGAGAATGATATTAAATAAAATTATAGAGTTACTAGAAAAAAACATAATCCTATTAGTTAAAACAAAAAATCAATTAGTTAAGATGAAAAAAAGATTGAATTTGATAGAATAAAATTTTACATTTAAACTGAGTTTTGTCAATAAACTCTAGAAAATTATTTATAATAGAGAAATACAGAGTTGTTGAAACTTAAAAAAAGTAAAGATGATAATTATCAAAATATTCAGTAAAAGTATATTAAAGAAGCTAAAATGATATTGGATCAAATAATATAAGGATTAGACTATTTACATAATAAATGTAAATTAGTACATAGAGATTTGAAACCTGGAAATATTTTCATGAATAGCCCAGAGGATGTTAAAATAGGTGATTTTGGTTTAGTTTCAAAACTTAAATAATTTTATGATTATGAAGATTAAGATAATGATGATGATATCTGTACAAAAATGTATGCAGCTCCTGAATAAATTAATTAAAAAATAAACAAAAGTTTTTCTGATTAAAAAAGTGATATCTATGCGTTAGGTTTGATAATTTTATTACTGTTTCATCCTACATCAACTTCAATGGAGACAATTAAAGTTATGAATGAAGCTAAAAAGAGTATACTTCCACAAATTTTAATAGATAAACATTCAAAAATATCAGAAATAATCTTAGAATGTATGAATAATGATCCAAAATAAAGACCTAATATTAATGAGATTACAATAATAGATTCATTAAATTCTTTGACTTCTTCAAAAAAAAGTAGTAATGAATTTAATAGTGATTCTACTGATCTTTATATCAAAAATATTGGAAATTGTTTAGTTAAATTTGAAGATGAGACAATCTAAGAGAAGTAAAACATTTTAATATATTTTAGATATTTGCAGTATAGTAATAGATAGATTTAAATATATAAAAATTCAAATTGTCTCAAGGCTCAAATGATATATAATATCAATGAATGTAATATTTCTTATAATGAGAATGAAATCTTAGTGGAACATAATTAATTAGAAAACTTTTCATTCAAAACTACACATAATTAATTATTGGACATTTATGATCAATTATGTGAACTCACCTAAGCAATATATTGATAAATTTATATTTATAAATTACATTTAAACTAAAATCAATCAGTATTGTTTAAAACCAATCTTAAGCATTAAGTAAAGGAGTTCATTTCATTAATATAATTTGATTTAGCATGTTCTAGCTTTTGTAAAAGTTCTTATAAATTATGATAGTTTTATTAATATTGTTAACATGATTCTGTTTCCTATCTAAGTCTATACTCTAGAATTTGCTTTTAGCGTTTCAAAATTTATAGCTATTCTTAATTATTCTTTTATGGTATGATAGTTCTTTATTGTTCTTAATCGCTATTAAGACTAGCAGAGTTTGTTTAATCAGTAGAACCATCATGAGAGAGTCTATTGGCAAAGGTGAAAGGACTGACATCGATCTTATTTAAATTTATTTAAGGAGGCTTGATTATTGTTATAGGTTTCCTAAGATAAATTAGAATATAGAAATAACTTGATTGTTGTAGAAGTGATTGATTTGGCTCTTGACTTATTTAAACTTTATTATTAAGTTATTTTTGTAGTGTCTGAAGTTTGTAATGCTGATTTTTTTCTTAAAATAGTATAGCTTAAGGATTAATTTTTATTCATTAACAGAAAATATATATGAATGAGAAGTGCTTTGAAACATATATTAATTAATTTACGTGTTATTATTTAAGTAATGATAATAATTCTAGGTCTGTTGATTTTATTTGTGTAAGGGTAGAATGAAGTGAAGGTTTCATTTAATGAACTTGAATCTCCAGTGTCTAATATTTATTGGTGTGGATCATCTGTTGTATTTACAAAAGATGATGAAACAATTGAATAAACTCATTAGGAGAGCAGAAAAGTGTTGTTTATTCTTACAGACAAAGGAAGAATATGGAGATCAGCAGATTATGGATCAACATGGTTAGATGAAACAAAGAGTTGGGAAAAGATGGAACCAGAAAATAAATAATTATAATTCGAAAGTATTCATATTTCACCAGCTGATTCAAGGGTTATATTCTTTTTTGGTTCAAATGGTATTAGTTATAAATCTAAGAATTGTGGTAGAACTTATACAAGGTTCTCACATTCAGAAGATCTTTATGATTTTAAATTGAATAAGATGGATCCATAATGGATTATGGCTTTTAAAGATAAACCTTGTGGCAAAAACGATAATAATTGTAAAGACTTTTATAAGAAATCAATTTATGTTACTGAAGATGGAGGTGAAACTTGGAAATCTGCATTAAATTATGTTAGAGATGCAGCATGGGATAAGCTCTTACAATATCAATTAATTCCTGATTAAAGAATTATAGTATGTCATATGAAAGAAGGTAAATCTGTTATTTCCTACTCTGATGACTATTTTACTACTATATAAACAATGCAAGAAAATGCTTTAGGATTCTTCTAAACATCCCATTACATATTTGTTCTTACTACAGGTGAAGATGGAGAAACTGGTTATGAATTATTAATTGCTCCTGCTTATTTAGATAAATTCTAACCATAACCTGTTTAATTACCTATTCCTTTAAATTAACATACCTTTACTATCCTTGACACTTCAGAAGGATAAATATTTTTATCTGTTTCTCATAAAGAAGAAAATCAAAGATTAACTAATGTATATGTAAGTGATTTTAGAGGATTTAAATTTACTCTATCTTTATTACATAATGTTAGATCACTTGATACTGGAAATTGTGACTTTGAAAGAATGTTAGGTATGGAAGGAGTTTATGTTGCCAATGTTTTTGATCATCAAGAAGTGGAAAAGTCAAAATCTAGAAGTTCTATCACTCCTGCTACCTTAGAATTATATAAAAAAACTGTATGATTACTAAATTCATATTTTTTAGTTTATCTCCTATGATAGAGGTGGCTAATGGCATCCATTAAAAGCTCCAGAAATTGATTCCAAAGGTGATGAAATTTAATGTTCTGGAGATTGCTCTTTACATCTAAAAGGAAGAACTGAAGCTAATTAAAATCCTCTTTATTCTAGTTAAAATGCTCCTGGAGTTAGTATTGGTGTTGGAAATACTGGATTATATTTGACTTAAAAAGATCATGAAGTCAATACATATTTAACTAGAGATGGAGGACATGAATGGTTTGAAATCAGAAAAGGTTCCCATATGTATGAGATTGGAGATAGAGGAGGTTTGATTGTTATGGGATAAGATGATAAACCTATCAATAAAATCATTTATTCTTGGGATTAAGGATTTTCATGGGAGGAAGTTAAAATAAGTGAAAAAGAATTTGAAATTCTAAATATTGTAACCGAGCCTTCTAATATGGAATAGAAATTTATTCTTTATGGATAGAGTAGATCATAAGAGAATTAATTAAAAGGATATGTTGTAGCATTGAATTTCTAAACTCTTCATTAAAGAGTCTGCTCTGGTGCTTGGGATCCAACAATGCCAGAATCAGATTATGAATTTTGGATTCCTAAAAATTTTGAATCTGGTAAATGTTTATTTGGTAGAAAAATCAAATACATTAGAAGAAAAAGAGAAGCAAAATGTTTCAATCAAGAAGAAATTGATAAAAAATTCTTCATAGAAACTTGTCCTTGTATAGAAGATGATTGGGAATGTGATTTTGGTTTCTATAGAAAAATAGAAGGAGGACCCTGTGTACCAATAGCAGATAAATTTGAAGAAGATGATACTCCAGATTTATTAAAACCTCCTGTTAATTGCAAATAAACTTACATGAAAACATAAGGCTATAGAAAGGTTTCTGGAGATTATTGTTAAGGAGGTATTGATCTTTCCCCTATCGAAACACCTTGTCCCAATACATAGACAAACAATACTTCTTTCAATAATACTGAAACTCCAAATATTGATATCTAATAACCTCAAATAAGTAAACCATAAATTAAAATCCCTTAAACTTAATAAAACAATTCTTTAAAATAATATTCGTATTTATGGTATGTTGTAGTCTTTTTAGGTGTCATTATAGTCATTCTATTCTTAAAGGATAAAATAATGAAGTAACTAATTTCATTTATTAATTCTAGTATATTTAGTAGTAAACCACCTAAGAAATCCTCATCCTACATGGAAAAAGGAAATTATGAATAACTTAAATTATTTAGTGGAAACGATGAGGATGATGAAGCTGGCCTTTGATTTTGTATTTTTATTTATTCATTTGAGTTGAGAATATTTTAATCAAAAACAATTTAAATTTAATTCCCTTAAAAATAATAATCAAATATTTATTAGTTATTATAAAATTCTTAAATTAGTCATCATGTAAAAAAATCTCTATTAATGTTTAAAGCTATAAGAATTTTATAAAAACTATTAAATATTATATGATAGTTAGGATGAAATATATTTTAAAATACAATTTTATCTTAGATAATCTTGGATTAGAAAAATGATTTTAAAACGAATAAAATGGAAGATTATAATCTGAGTTTGTAATTTTTTTGAATTGAACACTTATTATTAAAAAAATAATTAAGAAATACCTTAAAACAAAAAATAACAATATTAGATTTTGATTTTGAAACTGTCTAAGCGAATGACATAATAAAAATGGAGTTTAGAAGAAGAAATAGAATCTTATAATAGGTTAACTCTATAATAACTTTTTCATAATTACTTTTAATTAATATATATATATTGTACAATAAAATTTCACTTCTATTCCATAATATAATAAATGAATTATTTTTGTTATCACTTTTAGAACAATTTTAGAAATTCTATTGTTTTTTGAATAACTTGAATATGATACTTCTTCTATTATATTAATTTTTTTGATTAAAAAACTTAATATTAAACATGGCTCTATGCTACATCATATTAAATATGGTTTTAGAGTGATATATATGAATAAAGTTTATAGAATCCATAAAAATATTAAGTGATTAGTTAAGTTTATTATGAGATATTTATTTTACAAGGACAACCAAAAAATATTAATAAAAGTAATCATCTTTATTATATCAATATTTTATTATTTTTAAAATTTATTTGTATTATAATCATAAATGTAAATTAGACAAAAATCTATTTCTTGTTTAATCTAATAGAAATATATGTATTGGGAGAAGATTAATAAAGAATTTAAAAGAAATAAATTCTAAAAAGATTTCTTTTATAATTAAAAGATCATTAGAAGTTTAAATTTTAATAATGCGCAACATATTTGAATAATGATTAAATACTGATTAGATTTGAATGTCATGGTTATAAATATGACGTAGTTAATGATTCTTATAAGAAATGTACTTTACATCATAAAATTAACCGATCGCACTATGATTTATCGTTATATGGTTAATATAAGGAAGCAACATAGGGAGTTGGAAATGTAAAAATTACAAAAATGAAAATTTTAGATGAAATCAAGAAACAAGTCGAAATGGAGATGTAAAAAATAAAGAAAGTATAACCTGTTCGCATTCATCAACCTCTTAATTCTTAATAAAAAAAAGACCTGATCATTCTTATTAATAAAGGTGTTTAATTAAAAGATGCTGCCAGAGAATTAAAGGTCACATATCATGAAGCCAAGATCGCTTATAATGAGTATCGTCGTAAGGCTCTCAGTAGCCAAAGCGAAACCGAATCTACAATTCCTGACATTCGAACTGCTGGCGTGAGTTTGTTGAGAGTACCACCTCATCATTTCATAGTCTAGAGTGTAGTTGAGAATACTATTACATCTGTTCGTAAATTGTACAATGTAATAGTTTAAAATCCAATACTCAACTCAAATATATGATGATATTTAATTTGTTTTTTCTTCTTTTAACACATTCTGCGTCATAAATGTTATGTACTTAAAAAAATATTTAATTATATCAAAACAACTCTAATGTACCCTATTCTTTTTCCTTCTTTAAGGTTTCAAAGTATCCATAGATAATTGTAACAGATAACAATATTCCAGTTCCTTTATATATTAATATTAATTTCTACCTGAACCAATGGCACCTAAGAAATCAGCAAGGATTGTCAAAGCTCCAATACACATACCTCCAAATGAAGCTGCAATTGGGATATATCTCTTTAATACATCTTTCATGGATGAATCTCTATATCCAACAATTTACATGTCTTATTCTTTAAGTTATTTGGCAACCTATAAATGAATTTAAAGAATAATATTACATCTTTTGGTGATGATCCTGATACATCAATCCAAGTTTTTGAGAACAAAGCACAAGTTCCAAGAATGAATGCAGTATAAAGGATGGTGTGGATTGGATCGAAGATAGCTTCTGAAATTGATCTTGGAGGAGACACATAATATACTAATCCTCCAATAGGAACTGTCTATCCATTTTCTAATTCTTAATAATATCCCAATAATCTAATTAAGAAGTTGCCTTTAAAATTTCTGTAAAGAATTTATGAAAGGAAATAAAGGTTTGAAACTAATGCAGTTTATAAAATGATTGGAATGTTAGAAGTATAAAACAATTTAATAGGATATGATGTTAATCCTCCTCTTACTTTATTATTTTTAATTGGAATATCAACTTTAAATCCTTAGAAATAAATGACAATTAAAAACACTAATACTGTTGCCAATAAATTAGTTAAGTTTGGTAATGAATCTCTCAATATTGCTGATTAAAGTGCACTGATTTTATCACTCTAAATAAATAAACCATGCAATAATGCAATTATGGCTCCTTCATATTCTAATCCCAATTAAGTTTTATGAGTAATTGGTGAAAATGCTTTCCACATAATATTTTCACATATATTAATAGCTATAAATAAGGATGTTCCTGAATTTCCAATTCCATATCCTTTTGATAATAATTCATCAATCATAATCATAACAATTGCTGAAAATACCAATTATATTATTATTAAAATTGCATTTCCTGCACCCAATTTATCTAAATCACCATACATTCCTGACCAGACATATGCAAATGCTTCTCCAAAAGCTATAAGAATTCCCAATACTATAAATCATATTAATAATTATATACATTTTTATGCTCCTGAATATAGTTATTTGTCTTCCTTTACATTCTAATCAACATCAATTAATTTAGCACCAGCCAATAATTACATTATCATTGATGCTGTGACCATTGGAGAAATACCCAATTCCATTAAAGTACCTCTATTTGATGCTAAGATGACTCTCATCCAATAAAATGGATCACCAGCTGATGATTTGTAAATTCCATAAAGTGGTATTTATGAACAAATCAAATACAACAATGTTGCAATAGCTGTCCATAATGCTCTATATTTAAATAATATCTAAATTTCATATATATTAATTATACTCTTCTTTCTGGTTCAGCTACATCTGGAATGATAGCCATAGCTGGTCTCATATAATTAAGAATCTTGGTTTTGTTTGCCATTTTTATTATTGATTTTACACATTATTTTTTCCCTTTTAATTCCTCTCACACACGTGGGAATTATATTTATAAATTATTTCTTTATTTACTCTAACAATAATATTATTAACAAATGGAATATAATAGTGATATATAAAATAGTTGATCATTTGTAAGAATTTAAATTAAAAATACTATTAAAAAAATCCATACCCTATTTTAAAGACATTATTTTTTAAATTAAATACAAATATTTTATATAATTTTGTACTGTTACAAATTATTATATTTTTCAATTTTATATTCTTTTTTGAAAATTATAAATAATATTCTTATATAATACTCATAATTTCAAAATAGTAATTATAGTATAGTAATTATTAACACAATTTAATATTTAAAATCTTAGATTTCTAACATTCATCTAAAATTCACATCAATATTTAATATCTGTAAGAAATTCCAAACTCATTAAAGTTCTGTGAATAATAAGTATGTAATAAACATAAAATAAATGATTATTTACAATAAAAAAAAACAACAAAAATGACTGATAATACATAATTTAAGAATATTTATGCTTTAAATAGAAAGACATAATTCTTGTAGTTTTTAAATAAAGAAAATCATTTAAAATAGAGTAATTTAATATTAAATCATTGAAAGATATTTGATGTATACTTGAATTTGGATTAATATTCAGAGTTTGTTAATTATATTAATGTTGAATAGAATAAATCCATAATGATTGTATACTTATATCTAATGGAATTATAAATATTGTAAATAAATAGTTAATTTTTTCAATATAATATCTACTCTATCTATTGATATAATATATAAATGATTATAAATTATTTCTTGTATTATATTAAGATTGATTAAATTACGATATTATTCTTTTAATTCTTCATCACAAGATAATTCCGAATTCTTTCAAATAATTCTTATTAGAAGTGTAATTTAGATAATAATGTTAAATAACTAAGACTTTGGTAATATATATGATTATTTGAATAACAAGAAATAATTTAACTTCTAACTTTTGAAATCAGTAGATTTATATTATGGAGAACAATTTAGTAATCAGAATTACGTGATTGAAGTGTATATTATTGTGAAAAGAATAAATTTGATAGATTTGTTTATGTTGATCATGGAAAATTAAAGTCGAGTTATTCATTATAATAATAATCAAGCAAAATAGAGATGAGCTGTTGTAGTGAAATCGAATTTTTTGAATTTATGTTAGGGTGTCTTAGGTCCTGTTGTAATGGTAGTTGTTTCTGTACGGATTCGAAATTTCTATTATGCTGGAGAGTTTCCTCTAGAAACTGAACGGATTATATGATGGAGTTCTGTATTAGTGAGAAAAGTAGATTCACACATTTCATTTAATTTGATCTTTAGGTCTAATACTTCTTTATCTTTCTTATAATAATAAAGTGCTTTTCTCAATTTTATAGTAGACACTACTCTTTAGGGAGTTAATTATTTTGATTTCATTAATTATAATGCTGAATCATTTTAATTGTAATATTGAAGTTAAGATAATAAGCTAATCATTTATGAAGTCTGTAAAATCATTTTTTAATGATAAACCTTCAAATAATTGCAATAAAAATACTCATGTATTACAAAAGTTAAGACTTTGATTACATCTAAATTAGCTTGAATAAATATACAAAGATTATAGATATTATACAAATTGCATTAGGATTATAATTGAACAATTTAACAAGTATTGTTTTTATGCATTAGAAATATATTAGCATTTAATGAAGATTATATAATTTATTGAATTTTTAAGGTTCTTAAATTTTATTGAGTTTTAAGATGCAAACTTTAAGACAAAACATAATTCATGTGTTTAATGAATTGTAAATAATTATCGGATCCCCTTTTTTTATTCTTATACTTAATTTCTACTTTGAATAAAATTTATTTTTTTATAAATGCTAATAAGAAATTTAAGAAGATCATTTTTTTCAAAGCTTGAATTCATGACATAATTGAAGGCAGATGTAAAAAAATTTGAGAGCAGCTAATACTTTGAAAAAATATTGCCAAGAGTATTTAATTAGAATGATCCATAATTTTCCAAATATGATGATGTTGAAACATTAACAAAAAGCATCAGCAATCCTATATATGATTTATTAGATAGAGGTGGAAAGAGATGGAGACCTGCACTTTGCTTTATGATTGCTGATTTATTTAATAGAAATCATAAAGAATTATATGAAGTAGCAGCATTAGTTGAATTAATACATAATGCTACATTAATTGTTGATGATATTGAGGATGATAGTGTTGTAAGAAGAAATGATAAATGTATTCATATTAAATATGGTGTTGATGTTGCAGTAAATGCAGGTAATTACGTTTATTTTGCTCCGTTGCATTATTTCTTAAATTCTGCAAATTACTCTGATCAATAAAAAATGAAAATATTAGCTATATGTCTAAATAATATGAGAGTTGTTCATTTTGGTTAAGCTTGGGATATTTATTGGCATAAATAGAATAGTGATATCATACCAACAGAAGAACAGTATTTGAAAATGGCCTAATATAAAACAGGAGCCCTTTCTTGTATGGCAGCTTAATTATCTTGTATTGTATTAGACAAAAATGAGAAAGTTGGAGAAGCTTTAGCCAAATTTGCTGCTTAAATTGGTATTGCTTTTCAAATTTAAGATGTATCTATTAGTATTTTTTTAGGATATATTAAATTTGAATGGAGGTGAAAAATATAAAAAGACTAAAGGCTATTTAGGAGAAGATATCCATGAAGGAAAATTCTCTCTTATTGTAATACATAGTTTGAAACAAAAAAAAGGGAGATTATTTGATATCTTAAAATCTCGTACTGAAGATTAAGAATTAATAAATGAAGTAACAATAAATATTAAAATTGTAGGCTATTTCAATTATTAAATAAACAGGCAGTTTAGAATATGCCCATAAAAGATCTCTTGAAATTATTGAAGAAGCTTGGAAAGAAGTAGAGAATTTAGAATTTGATTGTCCAGAGGCTAAAGCCAGATTAAAAGATTTTGCTAAATATTTAATAGAAAGAGATTCTTGAATATCATATGCGATATCAAAATTATTAATCTAAAATAATCATATAATTTTTATACATTTTTTGTATATATAAAAGACAGATAAAACAAGCATTTCATATTCCTGTCTAAAACTTCCAATTATTAAAAAAGAAAGGTTAATTCTAAGGTTCTTTAATTAAATTTTTTATATTCTTTTTTATTTCCAAAAAAAAACTTAGTTTATCTTTAATCAATTAGTTTTACCTTATTGATTTTCATATTTTATTCAAATTGATATTTATTCTAGTCTTTTTGATGATTCAATATTCTTCAGATTTTTTAAGAAATCTATAATTTAAATTATAATAAATATATTAATTATTTATTCTAATCATTCTTTATGAGTATTTTGATTTTAATTTTCTAAAGAAATTAATCTGTGATATATTTTTCCATCTAATTCCTTTATCTTTCTTAATAAACTATGATCTTCATCAATAGAATCCATTTATGCTTAAGTTTCTTATTCCTCAATTATTACTTTCATATTATAATTATATTGTTTCATAATTTATAAATGAGGGTAAACTATATCTTTTTCACTATAACCACAACTATTCAATAATTTTCTAAATAATTATTTGTATTTTTCATAATCTTAAGGATAATCACTAACAGATGATTATTTAATTCCATTATAAAATTAAATAAACTCTAAAGGTGCTCCTTTGAATTATAGTTCTGACAATAGAGTTAATTTGATTTGTTCTAATTTTTTAATTTTTATTCCTTTATTTTCTTCTTTGATATCTAAGATAGGAGCAAATCCTCCATAATAAATAATTATTAAGGCTAGAGATTCTAAATCATCTTTAGGAGAAGAAACTTAATTTTATTATTAAATTAAATATACCTTATTCTAAATGTTGATTTAAGCTTGAGAATTTGTTAAGAAATCTTTTATTGGAAGAACTGCGTAAATTATCATTAAGAAAGATATTATTTTATTATTTCCTATATCTACATGCATACTTAAAGTCGGTTAATAAAATTTCAGAACCGCTTTAAGAAATTAATAATTTCTTAGGTCTAATATTACGATGTATAATTAAATTTTTATGGATCTATTCAAGACAAGTAAGCTAGATTAATTATAAATATTTACAGTCTGAATTGCCATTAAACATAGGATTGTAATAGGAATGTTTTTAGATAAGTAATTATAAACTAATTTTAAAGATGGACCATGACGTTCCATAATTTAATAATGATAAAGTTATTCCTTGATTGTTTGTTCTCCTATGGACAGAATTTTAGTAGTACATTTACCTATATAATAATTATATTTTACTGTCTTTTAGTTTATTTAAGAAGTACTACTCAAAATTTTATTCTGAAGCATTAGTTCTTTAATAAATGGAATAGACTACTTGCGCATTTTGATCAATACGAACTTGTTTTAATCGTCAGTACAATCTCTTTTTACAGCTAGCTAGGCTTTCAATCTCTACCTATATATAAATTGTAGGTGTTTCCTTTATAAATGTTTTTCACAATTATGTATTCATTATCAATAACAACAAAATTAGGGATTTCATTTGTTGATTTAGTCTATGATGTATTGAGCATTATTAATTTTATTAACAAATGATATATTAAACATGATATTTTATTTATTGCATTAACTTTCAGTTCATTTTAGATTATACTTAAAAATAAATTCATATATAATAATATAATGAATTTATTATATAGATGAGAATATAATTAGATGTTTTTAATTAGGCAAGTAAATGAATGATATAAATATTTGAATTGTAAATTTATAATTATTTTTTTTTATAATAATTGCAAAATCAATTTAAAATAAAAAGTCATTATTGAATTTGTTCATTTATGGTTTCAAAAATATTGAGGTGATTTTGTAAATAATTAAAATGTTAGATTTTTCAGATGACTCCTATTCTTTTTAAATTTAACCAGTTAATTAAAGAAAGAAGAATATTAAATTATTAGTTAAATTGATGAAACATAACAAAATTGCTAAATTAAATCAATCTATTATTACACTTGATAGAAATTTAGATTAACTCTATGAAAATTATAAAAATATAACAACATAAACTGAAGAGGTTATAGAAGTATAATAAATTTTAAGTGCTGTATATAATAAAGGACATATTAGTAGATAAATACATAGAGAGAGAAAACTTAAATTAAATTAAAAAGTATATCAAGATAAGTTAAGATAAGATGAAAGTATTTAAGAAAGTGAAGATGATGAAGTAGAAATAAATTAAAAAATAAAGAATGAAATAAAATAGAAATTATTATACTTAATAATAAATTAAGTTCCATTACCATTTATTCTAAATTTTATTGAATTTTAGAAATAAAAAGAATAATTTATTAAATTAAAAATAAAATGTGAAAATTCTTTATTAGATTCATTAAATTTTACATTAATAAAAGATCATAAAAATGAAGAAGAATTAAATTAAAATTTGAAATGTATACAAATTATTAAAATGAAAGAATTATTAATGATGAGTTTAGAACAATTAGAAAAGAGTAAGGAAAATATCATAACTGAATTAAATGAAATGTTTCTTGATTTAAAATCATGTAAAACATAATTAATGAAAAATTTAGAATTATTCTAATATTATGATGATAGTTTAGATCCATAAATTAATAAATTATTAAGAATAATTAATAATCTTATATTATACTGTAAATCTAAATCATCTATGAATGGTTAATTTAATAAATCAATATTGATGCCTAGAAAAAATGGATTAAGATGGCTATAAAAGATTATTATGTTAAATTGTTGGGTTTCATAAATATCATTTCCAGAAATATTAATATATATTTAAATGAAAGGAGATTTAGATAAAAATAAATCAAATCCAAAAAGATAATGTGTAATACAATTATCAAAAAAACTTGATNGATGAGAATATAATTAGATGTTTTTAATTAGGCAAGTAAATGAATGATATAAATATTTGAATTGTAAATTTATAATTATTTTTTTTTATAATAATTGCAAAATCAATTTAAAATAAAAAGTCATTATTGAATTTGTTCATTTATGGTTTCAAAAATATTGAGGTGATTTTGTAAATAATTAAAATGTTAGATTTTTCAGATGACTCCTATTCTTTTTAAATTTAACCAGTTAATTAAAGAAAGAAGAATATTAAATTATTAGTTAAATTGATGAAACATAACAAAATTGCTAAATTAAATCAATCTATTATTACACTTGATAGAAATTTAGATTAACTCTATGAAAATTATAAAAATATAACAACATAAACTGAAGAGGTTATAGAAGTATAATAAATTTTAAGTGCTGTATATAATAAAGGACATATTAGTAGATAAATACATAGAGAGAGAAAACTTAAATTAAATTAAAAAGTATATCAAGATAAGTTAAGATAAGATGAAAGTATTTAAGAAAGTGAAGATGATGAAGTAGAAATAAATTAAAAAATAAAGAATGAAATAAAATAGAAATTATTATACTTAATAATAAATTAAGTTCCATTACCATTTATTCTAAATTTTATTGAATTTTAGAAATAAAAAGAATAATTTATTAAATTAAAAATAAAATGTGAAAATTCTTTATTAGATTCATTAAATTTTACATTAATAAAAGATCATAAAAATGAAGAAGAATTAAATTAAAATTTGAAATGTATACAAATTATTAAAATGAAAGAATTATTAATGATGAGTTTAGAACAATTAGAAAAGAGTAAGGAAAATATCATAACTGAATTAAATGAAATGTTTCTTGATTTAAAATCATGTAAAACATAATTAATGAAAAATTTAGAATTATTCTAATATTATGATGATAGTTTAGATCCATAAATTAATAAATTATTAAGAATAATTAATAATCTTATATTATACTGTAAATCTAAATCATCTATGAATGGTTAATTTAATAAATCAATATTGATGCCTAGAAAAAATGGATTAAGATGGCTATAAAAGATTATTATGTTAAATTGTTGGGTTTCATAAATATCATTTCCAGAAATATTAATATATATTTAAATGAAAGGAGATTTAGATAAAAATAAATCAAATCCAAAAAGATAATGTGTAATACAATTATCAAAAAAACTTGATTTCTTAAGAAAAATATATAATATACCAGAAGTAAGAAAGAAATGTTGGGAATAAAAGGTTGTATTAATGGATCAAAGTAAAAAAACTCCTAGTTATATTTTATAAGAATACAATTTGCATTTACATTAATTACATAAAAATTTATTTTATGATAAATTGTATATGGACAATATGTAAGATTATGTTTTAGAATCATAATTAAGAATGTTGGTTTAAAGATTTTAACAATAAAAATATTAAATTTTTGAAGCATATTAAGATTTGAGATGTCAAATTAATATGATTCCAATTAATATATTATATAAGGATTATTTGGAATGGTATAAATATGATATTGAATAATTATCTAGATTAGATTATATAAAACATGCAAAGGATGTAATTATAGTTTGTCTCATGAAACATTTAGGTATGTTATTAAAAAAGGAAAATATTATAAAAACTGAATAAGAAATAATTAGATTTAATTTTGATAATAGATTTACCTATTCAATTTATAATAAAGATAAAGATTAAAGAGATATGTATTAATGTAATAAATATTTCTATATTAAAATACTACTTTGTGATTTTATAGCAATGGATTAACCATTTCCATATTTATTTAAATACTTAACTTTAAGATTAGAAAAAATAGAATCAAATAATTAAGATGACATTTTGGCTCAATTATTAAGTGAAAAAAATATTAGAAATTATTTGTTAACTAAATATAATTTAAAAATTGGACTTGAATAAACAGGTAATAGAATAATCATTACAAATATTCCATAATCTTTTGATGATATCACAAGAGAATTATATTACATACCATGGGAATATGTTATAAGTTCTTAGTTATAAATAATTTATAGATATAGAAATTACTTAAAGAATGAAATCTAATAGATGATTACAAGTAAAGAATTTTAAGATTATAGATTAAATTTGAAAGTAGATACAAAATTATATTAATAATAATCAGAGATTATAATAAAATTGGAAAATTTTTAGAAAGATATCTAAAAATGAATAAACTATATTATTTATTTATGAAATCTAAGTAATTATATATATATATATATATGATTTATTATTTATTTAAAATTAAATAAAAAACTCTTTATTTATTAATAAATAATCATAAATTTTATTTCTATATTGCTTATTTCAATAGTTTATGTTTTTCAGTTTACAATGAATTTTCATAAAGTTATTTAAATGTTTCATAATCCTATAAACTTTTATTTGATTTCAATATATCAAATAATTCTGTTGTATTCACATATTCTGTTTAGATATCTTTTTTATATTGATTATAAAATTAATCGATATGTTTGGAATCCTATAATTTATGCTTAGTTAGAATATATAATGATTAAATTTCAGTTAAAATATTTTAAGAATTTGTATAAGCAATTAAGGATGGAAGGAGTAATTGTTCTTTAAGTTGTAAATCATTTGCAATAGCATAATCTAATAAATCTGCAAAATATTTAGAGTATTTTTATGCATAGATTTTTATATAGATTTCATGAGTAATTAATATTTTAGCAACTTCTTCATAGATTAAACATAGATTATCGTAATTACTTTTATTAATTTAATGTTTCAATGTACTAAGTAAGTAAATCATGAATCCTGTATTTTTGATTTCTATTGTTTTCATTTCATTTATATAATTCAGAATGTATGTCAAATCTCTTTAATAAAAGGCTATGGCTTGAAATGAAGATACTTACATGAGTAGTAACATTTAGCACTGAATTTAAGTTTATTCAATTACTATTCAGATTTGCTGAAATAAACTTCATATATTGCATAGACTCCTAATGAAATAATTATTCCTCCAAATATTGATGAATATAGATCACTATGATTATCTCTATTTTAAATTCTTTAATTTAGGATAATAATTTCAGAATTAAGTTCAAAGTCTTTTTTAAAAGCTAAATCATTATTGATGTTTTTATTTAGAATGGCTGGTACATGATTTATTTTAACTATCTATTTACAAAATTTATACATTTTATAATTAATATAATATATATATTATAAAGAGTTTAAGTATTTTGAATAATGTAGAAATGAATCTGATATATAGATATGATTATTATTTTAATATAATTCTTATTATAATTATTATCATATATATAATATCAAATGGATTACAATATGAAATTTGTAGAATTATTAAAGAAACATGAAAATCATTAGATGATACTTCAAGTGGCATTAGATGTAATGCTTTAAGAGAAAAATTATAAAAATTAACTAACAAAATATAGAGATGAATTGAGAAGAGAAGATAAAATATTAGTTACAAAATGTACTAAAGCTTTAAAAGAATTGGCTATGCGATCATAATAAGATTAAATTAAAGCATTAGAGAAAATAAGCAAAATTGATTAATAAATTATGCTTTATCTTAAGGATTAAGTATTACCTATCATTCATTTTGACAGAAAGTTAAATAATTATACTTTCATTAAATACTATACAGATCCAGGTATTATAGTTTAATTTATTATAGAAAATTCAATTAATCCATAAGAAACTATTATTGAAACACAACATAAAGAAAATACTAATTTAGAATCTTTTGAGGCTGATTTCTCTAAATTAGAGTGGAAATTAGAAATTACATTATCTAGTATTAAAATGAGAAAAGTATTCTTTAATTTTGTATAATGATTAGGTCATTCGACCATTAATTCTTTTAATATTCCATACAAAAAAAGGAGTCAAGAAAACTATGTATTTAGATTACAATTAATTCTAAGAATTCAGAAAGAATGTTGCATTAGTCTTAAGATAAATACATATTATTGAAAGTATATAAAGTAATTTTTGAATTGATTATATTAATTATAATAATTAATGCTTCAGGAAGTAACAATTCCTTGTGGAAGATATGATTACAATCAAGAAACAAAAAAAGTTGTTATTGTTAAAGCAAAAGGATTACTCAATTTATATTTGAATGATGAAAATGAATTGTGGTTAAAATGGTATAATGTAGATCTAGATAGTAAATTAGAAATTGTAAACTTTTATATTATTTAAAATAGGAAAGAATCTTAATTAAAGGATGTACATTTTTTGAAAAAGTTAAAGGTCAAAATAGAGTATATCTTCTTAGATTTACAGATGATGATTAAAAGTATTTCTTTTGGATGCAAGTAATATTTAATATATATTTTAAATTAGACTGATGATTAAACTTAAGATGAAAATTATTGCAAATAATTTAATGATATAATCAATTTATAGGTTTTAGATGATCCTATTTAAATTTAATAATAACCTCCAATTTAATCTCAACCACATACACAACCTCCATAATAATAAATGGATCAATAATAATAATAACTTTTATAATTGCTTTAATAGTAATTGACATAAAGAGTAGGTCCAGGACTATCTCTAACAGATATTTTAAGTAGTGAATTTTTAACTTAAATTGCCAAAGATGAGGAATACTTTTAGGCTCTAAAAGAGTAAATAATTTAAATTATATTAGTTATTTACCTCCTGATTAGTAAAGTTTTGAATAATTTAAGGAGAATTTACTGAGTCCTTAATTTAAATAGGCTTTAGATTAGTTGACTCATGCTTTAAAGGGAAGAGAAAGGAGTTCTGTGATTCAGTAATTAGACTTGGATTATAGAGTATTAGAATAGGAATTTGATGGTGTTATAGCTTTTATTAAAGCTATTATTAGAAAGGATTAAAATAAAAATTGATAGAATAGAAATAATTTATTTAATTCATTAATTCTTATTTAAATCATTTGATATGTTTAATATTTGCTATTGAAATTGATAGCTTGTTTGTGATATTTGTTCAATTAATTTTGTGTCTAATTATGCTAGCTATAATTATTTTTCCTTAATTTTAGATTCAATTAACTCTAATTCTTCAACTTCCTAAAACTGTAAATTGTTGGCGTACTTTTGATAGTTTGTTTAATTTCTCATCTTAAATGGCTTCCTTTTTGGCAGACTCATTAGATTGTCGAATGATCTCATATAAAGGTAATCCTAAAACACAACTATATATAAATAAATCTGAAAAGAGATCAGTGCCTATTTTAATATAATAAATTTAAAACCTTTCATAAATGCAGCTTCATCTGTTAAAGGTTTAATAAAAAATTACTAATTTGATTAACCAATAGAGGCCCTTTCCAAATAAACATCAAATGCATTATACTTATTTCCTAAAAATATAAAACCATTTCTGACAATCCTTCTTCCATAAGACCTGTTATTATTATTATTCAAAGCATATCTTTTAATAATATTTGCAACAGGTTTAGAGAATGTCCGTATAAAAAGTGCTACTAATTTTTTAAATGGAATCATAATAAGTAATATAAAATTAATATTAAAATATTATAAATTAAAGAACTTTTTATGTTGGACATTTATGTAACAATTATACAAATAGTAAGTATTAAGAAATATTGTTAAAAAGATTATTGTGTTTCAAGAGATTTATTTGCAAGAGAATAATAAATATAAGATTGTTATCATAAAAAAATAATGTTCAATCTATTTGAAATACTTTTAATAACTTTAGAAAACATAAAATATTTTGCTTATCAAATTCTATATAAGATAAATATATCCATTATCAAAGCTATTCATCTTAGTCTGAAAACACAATGATACTACATAGAGATTGGAATTATTTAGATGAATATTTTAATAACAAATATAATATTCAAAAGAAAGCTTTGTAAACTAGGCATATGTGAACAAAAATACTATTACTATTTACCATAAGAGATTATAGAAATTACTCATTCAATTATATATAAAATGAATTAATTATATGATTGCCAATATTCACTGATCAAGATAATATTGATAAAATCATTTGCTCTAATGCAACTACTTAAGACTATTAGTTTAAAGATTAGAAATAATTAAGTATACTGTAACTTCAACAAATCAGACAAGAATCTCTTTTTGAATATTTTGACTTAGCTGATGTTGGCCAAATTAAATTTTCTCAATCCAGCTAAATATATTAGATTATTTTTATTGCTTCTAAAATGTTGAAGTATAAATATTTTAACAAAATAATTGTAAAACTGAATGTTTTCTTAAAGAATAATACCATACTTATTAGAAATAAATTTGAAATATATATATATAAATCATTAATGAATACTTCAATTAAATTTCCTGAAAATGATGAAATTGCTAATCATAAAATGAAAGCTCTAGAACTTAATGCAAATTAATTTTAAGCATAATTTAAAGTATGTTTAATAGACTATCAAGCCTCTTTTTAATGAAAACACTAAGTTAAAATAACATGTAATTGGCCTTAACTTCTTTATTGAAGAACGAAAATTGTAACTTAGCAATCTAATCAACGATACTGGACCTAATGGGGAAGATAGGGTATTGATTAAAGCTGTTGCTGATTTCAAATAAATTTGTGATCTTTTAGAGGGTATGATATTGTAATTATGTAGAGGAGATACATAGATTGAATAACACAATAGTTGAGAACAATAATGATAATTCTAAGTTATAGATAATTATAAAATAATTGAAAGAGAAGTTGTAATGTGAAACAGATCGATTTTTTTAAGAAAAACAGTCATTAATAGATTAAAATCGACGTTTGAATGAATATCATAAATAATAATCTATGTATTGGGAATAAAATGTAAATAGAATGGTATTATATACTAAGTAATTATTAGAAAATGAAAATTGAAGATTTATGTTCAAAGATATTGCAATTAGAATAGAATACAAACAATATACATAGACATTATAAATATAAAATAGAGGAAAGATCTCTCATTTAGAATTAATTAGTTATGTAAATGAATTTGGAAAAATAAGAATAAATGGAGAAATTTGAAAGTGAAAGAAGATCTTATTTATTATAATTAGAGATTTTTAGTAATAAATTAAATGAGAATAAAACTGCATTAATTAATGAATATGAATATAAGATCTAATCTTAAAAGATGAAATTAGAAAATTAGATTTAAAAATTAATGTAAGATTGTTAAGAATATAGAACTAAATTTTTAAACATAAATGAAAAAAATAAATAATTATTATACTAAATGGAAAGATAAGTTCCTTAGATAACAGCTTTGGAAAAGGAAATCTAAGATTAAAAATACAAAGTCTTTTTATGTGATGAAACAATTAAAACTAAGGATGTTGATATATAAAAAAAATAAATTATAATAGATTAATTAAAGTATAAATTTTTATTTATTTAGTGAATAGATTAAAAAATTTAAATAAGAAAAGGTATAATATGGAATGAGGGAACAACCAAAAAAGTAGGGATCAAATATATATTAGAATAAAATATAATCTCCAGATAAAACTATATAATAAAATAAGAATTCATAAAATCAAAGATAAGGAACAAAATAAAGAGAACCAATAAAATAATCCAATAATCCAGATTCTTAAATTCATTCTTCTACATAAAGAAGATCTTAATAAAAATAAGATTTTACATTTGAAGATACTACTATTGAATAATATGTTGAAAATAATAAATAAGAGATGCTATAATCAATTTAATAATCTAAATAATAGTCAAGATCTTCTTCTGTAGATGAAAATTCTCCTATTCATCTTATTAAAATAGTTAATAATGAAATGTAAAAAACAAATAATACTGATTAATTTTAATAAAATTTAGCAGGGAATAACTAATCTTTATCAATTACATAAGGAGCATGGATTTTATATAATGAAGTTGAAATCTAATGTGATTTAAATGAAATCATAGATCCATCTATTATTACTAATTAAGAATTATAAATTACTAAATTAAATGATGATTTAATTAAATAAAAAGATGAATATGAATTTCTATTAAGATGCAAATAAGATGAAATTAATGAAATCTAAGAATAAATCAAATTACAAAAGAATGTATATGAATCTAATTAAGAATAATAATTAAAAAATATATAAAAATAATTATAAGATGATCTCATTTAAAAAGATAATACTATTAAGTAATTAGAATTAATATTAAATGAAAAAGATGCTAAAATTTAAATGTAACTTGATTTAGAGAATATATATTAAGCTATGATTGATAAATTAAATAATTAACTTAAATAAGTAGGATTAGGTTAAAATGAACTTATACTTAAATTTTAGAATGATATCAAATTAATGGAAATTGAACATTAAATTGAATAAAAGAGATTATTAGAAGTTAATGAATAATTAAAGTAAACACATAAATAAGAGATAGAGAATTTAAATAATTAACATTAATTAGATTAAGAATAATTAATATCAGAGAAAATAAGATTATAAGAATAAAAAGTAGAACATGAACATTATATCAGATCAACTAATGATCTTTTAGAATAAGCAAGATCTAAAGAATTTCTATTAGATAATTATAGAAGAGAATTATTAAAAACTAATGAAATTGTTAAATATCTTTCATTAGAAATTGAAAATTTAAAAAAAATTAATAATATTTTTAGATCCAAAAAAGATCATCCTTCTAATAACTTTTTATATAATGGAATGGGATTTCTTCCAACTGAAGTATAGGATAAAATAAAATAAAAAATGATTAAAACAAAATCAAAAAAATTACCTACTAATATTATAAAAGATGCTTATGCTATGAACTTTTAATTATAAAAAGGAACAAAAATGAAATCTGCTAAATTAGTTGCCATGAATGGAAACAATTTAGATTAAAAACCATAATAGTTATTATATTTATTAATTATTTATAGATAAGACTTAAAATTCAAACTAGAAACTTTAAATGAACTTAATGAATCTTTGCCTAAAATTAATTCCAAAAATATTTAAGAATATGAACGATCAGCCTCAGATCGCAAACATAAAATAACTAATAAAAATCTAAGATCAAGTATCTAATATAAAATATTATAAGAAACTTAATAAGAAGATTATACAGATAGTGATCCAAAAAGAATGATACAAGATATCAATTCAAATGAAATATTATTAATCTAAAATAGTTAGATGTTACTTTCATAAATCAAATTTTAACCTTATGATAAAAAAAATTTAAGTTTAATAAAGAGAAACAATCATAGTACTTCAAATATTTGAATGTTTATATTTTAAATAATAATATATAAATTGTTAAAAAAAGATAGAATATGTTACATATATAAAAATAAATCATATCAAATCTCTTCAGTTCATTGAGAAGTCTAATTAAATAATAAATGATATATACCTTAAATTGTTAATCAGATCTTTCAGTTCCTTATTAACTTTCCTACTCCTCTGGAATTAATGGTGTATTAAGTTACACTTATGATGTCTTAATTATAGTAGTTGCTGTTAAAACCTTTGTTGCAGTATTTTCACCAGAAGAATAAGATTTTTTAATCTCGGCATCATTAAATTTTTCTAATAATTCTTAATTCTTTTTATTTAATTATTCATATGTTTTCTCATATTATTTTTTTACAGAAGCCAATTATATCTATAAATCTTCATTCTCTCTCTTTAAAGCATTAATTTAATCATTTTTTGTACTTAATTAGGCTTAAACATCTAATAAATCATGAGATACTTTTGCATTATCTCTTGTTAATGAATCAATTTTTCTATTTAATTCATCTTATTCACTTCTTCTTTTTTTCATTAAATTATCTGTCTATTATAGTTCTTAATCTTTAAGTTCAATATCTTAATTTAATTTATCTATTTATCTTTCTAATTGTTTTTTTTCAGTTCCAAATTTAATTTATTTTTATTCTAATAAATGTAATTCATCTGTTTATTCATTATACTTTTTCTATAATAATGTATATTCTTCATTAGAAATATAATCTTTATTAAGTTAATTTTTAAGTGATTCAATTTCTTTTGATTTTTCATCTAATTAATTTTCTAATTCTCTTCTCTCCTTTAAAAGTTAATTCTATCTTAATTATAGAGTTTCTAATTCTATTTCTAAGACTCTTATCTTATCTTAAGCAGCATTCTAAAAATAATACTTAATTAATTACCAATTCTGCTTAATATTTTAAATCTGATTTTTTTCTTTCATATTCTATTCTTTAATAATATTCCAATTTTAAATTAGTCTCCTCAACATATTGATTAAATTATTATCTTAAATCTTCATACTTTTATTATTACTCTTCTACTTCTTTTTCTTTATTTAAACTTTTCTCTTATAAACTTTAAACTTATTCTTATAATGTCTCTCTCATACTTTAATATTCACTTTATCTTTATTAAGTAGTATCCATAAGTTATTTTAAATTAGTAATTTCTTGAACATATTAATGTTCCCTTCTTCTAAATTCATCTTAACTTTATTATGTAATTAATTCTTATTATCGAACTCTATTATTTGTAGAGTCTAAATCATTTAGATACTATTACAATTCTTATTCTCTTTAATTAATTTATTATTTTAATTATTATATTTTATTTTCCAATCCAAGTTCTTTCTTTACAAATTAAGCCCTATCACTTTCATTCTATTACTTCTAATCCTCTATCTCTTAACTTATTTATTAATTCTATTCTCTTAATTCTTGTATTATTTAATCCAATTACTCAATTTTCGATTTATAAACACTCAATTAAGAATTAATACTATTTTTTTCATTTTAAAGCTATTGTAATTAAAATTCTTTTTATTACAATTTCTATTCTAATTCTTACCTTCCTTATTCATTATTGAATTCTTATTATATTTATTATGTCTCTAATTCATTTAATTTTTGTTTTAATTATTTAATTTATTATTCTAAAAGATTCTTTTCATTTGTAAGTTTTGTTTAGGATAAATTTTATTCTCTTTAAAGGTTATCAATTTCATTTTAATATTAATTTATTTCTTATTCTTTTAATTTTTCTAAATTTTCTAATTTCAATATTAATCCATCAATTTCTCCTTACTTTTAAGATAAATTTAACTTTTATTAATGTATAGTTTCATCTTTTTATTTGATAATTTAATCATATTTTTAATGTTCATTTTTTAAATCATTAATTTGATCTTATAATTATGAAATTTCATATTATTATTTTGATTTTTAATTCTTTAATTCATTATCATATTCTATCTAAATTTACTTTTGAATTTCTTGAGATTAAGATTTTACAAGATCTATTTCTGTTTTAAAATCATTAATTATTTAATTCAATCTTTAAATTTCATTCAATTAATTTTAATTTTTTAATTATGTATCATTTTACAATTATCTTTATTTTTACAATTCATTTTATAATTCTTATAATTCATTTTCTTTAATTCTCTTATAATGTTCATGATCTTAAACAAAAACTCTCATTTCAGATTCTATGGCTTATTATTTTTATTATAATTATCGATTCTCTTCATTTTTTTAATTTAACCTACCTTCAAATTCTAATAATCTTTAATTTAAAGATCTTATTTGGGATTCATAACTCTATCTTTCTGCCTAAAATTTAATAGTAACTTCCTTAACTTCTCTTTCCACCTAAGATTTTTTCATATATTCATAATGAGATTTTAATTCATTCAGTGTAGTTTAATGATTTTTATCTTATTACATTTATCTTTCTCTTTATGAATCTGATTCTCTCAATAATTCTTATTATTATACTTTTATTTCATCTAAAAGTCTTTATAATCGAGTATTCTCTTCAAATAATTTATCTTTCTCAATCTTAAAATCATTCAATTTAATATTCTAATAATTTAATTCATTCATTTATTATTCAAATTAATTTAATAATCTATTATATTTCTATTATTCCTATTGTAATAAATCATTCAATCTAGCAATATTATTACCATGTTACACCTATATTTCTTTTATCTATAGTTCATAATTTATACGAATGGAACTGTCAGTTGAAAGTTTTAATTCCTCATAATCTCTTGCATTCTTAGCTTAAAGTTCTTTAATATATTATCTTAAACTATCAATTTCAATAGTTTTGGCATCATTTGATTATTTTAATATTCCCATATCTTTTTGTTATTAAAACATCTTATAAATTATAATATAATCATACTTTAGATTCTAAATCAAAGTACTTTTATTCTAATTTTAATAATTCTTAAGTTTATGCATTGATTTCTTCATTTTTGTTCTATATTAACAATTTATGCTATTATATATTCATTATTTCTGTATGCAACTTTTATTCTAAACATTTTGTTTATAACTCAAAATCAATTATTATTTAGTTGTATTTTTATTGATCTGAAAATAATTGACTTTATAATTATCCATTCTCTTAACTTAACTTCATTAATCGAATTTCATATGAATCTATCAATTTATAATTCTCAGACTTTTAAAATTGAGGAGAAATGTCTCTTTAATAAGTTGACTTTATTATAGGAGAGTAAGAGGTTTCAGCTATTAATCATAATATAGAATATACTTTTTTGATATTTTTGAGATATGCTTGATTTTTCTACCTCATAGGAACTCTTCATTCGTTATCTATTTTCACTATTTAAAATAATATTGATAATATGTATACGAAAGAATTGGGCTATCTTTTTAACCTAGTTTTCTTGCTTATTCATCATTTTTAACCTGATATGCAGGTTGATTGTTAGGCACATTCGAATTATCAATCTCTTACTTGTAACGAGATTGCTACAAGGAAGCTTAATTAGAAATTGACCATCGATTATTCATTTAACAGAAATATTATTGAAATTTGTTATTAAAAAATTAATTATTTGTCTGCTAATTAATCCAACTAATCTTATGTATCTCTCTAATATAGAATACAACAATAATCTAAAAAGTTTATAGATATGTAGCTCAACACTTAAATCTCACTTATTATTTAGAACTAAACTACATCCAAATTACATATATATCAATATAATTCTATCAAATTCAATGGAAAAATAAATTAAATTCAGGTTCTCTTATTATCTATGTTATCTCTTTAATATATTAGAAATATAAATATTAATAAGATTTAATCTTTAACAAAATAATTTATATTGATATTTTGTTATATAAATTTTATAATTTAGATTATAAAATATTAGTAATAAATCAATATTTTATAATTTATATTTTAAATATAAGTAATAAATCGATAACCATATTAAGCCAAACTCTCTATAATATATAAAAATAATAATTATTAAAAAAAATTAAAATTCTCGATAAGTTTTAATTATATAATAGCTTTCATTTATTTTTTATTTATTTTTTTGCTGTAATTTTATTTTTAACCATATTATATGATTATCCTCTAATATATTATTTTTCTTCCTTTTATATTTAATTTATATCTGAATTTGGATTTAATTATTTTCTTTTGTTATTTGAATTTTGAAGATTATCCAATCTAAATTTAAGTTATAAAAATGAAGATATTTTATCATTTGTTTAGAATAGAGTTTTTGAATTATTGTATTTTGTTGATTATGAACTAGTATGTTAAAAGACTCTCTACCTTTCAGGAGATTTTCTTGGTTATGTTTTGATTTTGTTACTTAAATTATTTGAATAAATTTAAATTATTTGTTAATTCTTTTTTTTAGGAGATACATCATTTTTAAAAGTGAATTAATTTGATGATTGTACTGGAAAGTGAAAAGCATGATTAAATATATTGGATTAGCTTTATCTATCTTATACATTCAAATATATTTAGCTTAAACGTGACTGCTCTATCCTTATTTATTCAGGAGAGACACTACTAGTACTTGTGATAAAATGAGTGCTATTTCGCTTTCCTAGTGTATTAATATAATAGTTTTAATCAATCTAATTTTTATTATGTGTTTTAATTTTGTGTTATTATGATAATGTTAGGATTTTTGATTTCATTTAAGATTTAAATTCACATTCTTCCTAACTGCTATTGATATACTATTAAGAAGTGGATTTTTATGTAGGAAAAAGTCTTTCAGGAGATTGATTGCATGAATTTCTAAGATTTGATAAAGTTTTTCCTTTTAATAAATGGAATGGTAGATTAATCTTATCTTTAGAATGTTTTTAAACAAATTTTTTAAGTAATTAAAGATTTTAAGGTACTTATTAATTGTTTAGTTTTGGAATATTTAATTCTTACTACTGCATTGTCAACCATGTTTCATCGATATTCTATGTAAAATAAATAACAGAATATTTTTACTAACTAATAATCTTTAGGTTAAATTTTAAAGAGTTCATTTAATATAGATATAGTGGAATTTTCAGTAAATTTACTTAAACTATTTAAAACTTATATGTCTTCTTTCAACTTTTCATATTCTAATGTTTTTATGCGAATATTTTTGTACATGTACTCTAATTAGATTAATCATAAGGAATTCCTAGCATTTTTTTAATTCTTCTATATTCATACTTTCTATTTAATAGTTGTTAATAAATTGTTATACTTTTTTTTCTCAAAAAATGATATAACTTTATCTGCTAAAACTCCAAAAAAAAGTCGAGGTAGATTCTTATGAAATCTATAGTATTGCAACAAAGATTTAATTTTATGTGGCTATTAATTACTTGGATAGAATCTTAATATAATTAATATATATCTATACTTTTTCAAGTATGTATCATCATCTTGTAAGTACAAATGATCTTTAAAATCAATAATCCATTTTACTGGTTTTCTAGCAAAGAAGTCGTCAAAGTTTTTGGATTTTCTTGATGAATATTTAGTGTACAATGCCTGTTCATTGTTTAATTATTGATACACTATTTATTATTTATGAGTAGAAATGTTTAACGTTGGAAGTACCTTTAATTTTTTAACAAAATGGACAATGCTTCTAATTCATAAAAGAATATAATAAATTTTGTATAAAATATATTAAAATCAATTACTACCTTTGACTCTAGTTATTGGTCTTTCTAAAAGAGCATAACTTTAAACTTATCTAGTACCCTAGAAAATAAAATAAAGTAAATAATACTTTCTCTTCATTTTTATAACCAGCAGTTTATTTTTGACCAAATTCTGTATAATATTTTCCACTGAATCTTTCCATCAACTGCATATCTCTATAAAATAGAATAACAGTTTAGTTTCCATCATTACCTGCCTATCTTAGATAACCCTAAATTTAAATAATAAATTATACTCTATAGATAATATAATCATCAAGACTGATAGCAATTTCATGTACACCTCTTAAAGGAGTTTTAGTGTAATTCCAAAAGATAATGCAACCAAGAGCAAAAGGTTATTCAGAACCAAAATAAAGAGTATTAATTTGAGGATCTTAAGAATGATCAAAACATCTATTAGTGAATGGAGCTAACCACATATGAATATCATTATGAGTTTCATTAATCCCATCTAAAAGATTTTCTACTACTCTTTTGTCTCCTCTCATAGATTAAAGAATTCTAACAGATGATGGTTCTGCTCCAATATTGCCTTAAATCTATCTGCCTTTATAATCTAGAATTTCTAAACCATTTAATCCAATATAATGTATATCACCAAAAGTAGTTATCAATTATATCTTTAATTCATATCCAACCATTAAATTATTGATTTCATATTCACATCTTAATTATTTTTAGACTTGAGTAGTTTCTTCAAAAATATAATCTTTGCAAGGTATAGTTATGGTTTAAGCATAATCATAAATTTCACAACCAGGAGCTCTTTTCAATCCAACACAATTAGAGATTATTCCCTAATCACTTAATAAACTAATGAATTTAGCACCACGAAAAGTATCCTCATAAGATTTATTGTAATTCCAAATTCTAATTGAGGTTATTAATTGAGGAATATCAAATGTAAATGTTAGAGTAACACATCTACCTGGCTGATAGGGAAGAATGTACATATTCATATCATTAGTAGTTACATTAATACCATTAATAAGACTATTTATGTTGCCTTTGTCTCCATCACTTTGATAATCTGATTTAATGTTTTTTACTTATATTTTTCCCTCCTTACCTAAATAGATATATAAATCAATACCATAAATATCAACTCCAGTTAATCCAATATATGGTTAATCAGCCCAAGGTCTCAATAATTTGATTTATAAATATCTACAAGTTATACCATTTGAATTTTGATTTATTAATGCTCTTTAAATTTGTTGTTTTTCTTGTCTCTATTAATTTTACTCTTATTATCTAGCTTATTTTACTAAATAATTATTGTTTTATTTTACTTTCATTTTAAAGATTAGTAACTTTAGCTGATGTTGTTGGTCTTACTTCTGAATCTGCATTACCAGTATTTGGTCTTTCATTTTAATAATCATGTTAAATTGTTTAAAATTCCTAAGTGTTGATCCAATCATTTTTAGCTATTTACTAAATGATATTATCATCACTTGTGAATAAAAATAACTCAAAAGGTTATTCATTCTAATTAATAACTCTTTATAAATTCATGTTTCCAAATCCTTTCTTTATATCTCCTCTGAATACAATTTGATTATCAAAATATAAACTTATATCTTTTGCTCCTCTAAAACTATGTATTCTACTCTTATTATAATTCCATATCCTAATCATACTTATTTTCTTCTTATCAATAAGATCAATAGTAATCTTATTGATTTTCCCTCTCTAAAACGGACTCAACCATACATGCATATCAGATTGAGTGTAATATACTCCATCAACTAACTTATCAGGTGTTCTAGGGTCATTGAAATATTCTGGTAACACATTAATATCACTAGGATCAGCCTTAACTTAACTGTATGGATCTTAAATCTCAATTTATTTTCCTATTTCATTGAATATTTCTATTCCATTTAAACCCACATAATATTTATCCCCCCAAGTGGAATGTATGTGGATTGTGATTATTCTAACCTAAGGTATAGTCGGCAAAGACACCTACTTCTTGGCCTTTTTTACAGGAGCTTAATTAATTAATGGCTAATTCAACAAATCCTTAATGAGTTATGCGTTTTCTTATGTTTACTATCTAAAATTATTTCTGTTAGGTTATTGTATAATTTATTAAGGAATTTATTGTTAAGTTGGTGTTTCCCATTTAGACAATTATTATTTAGGCTAAATATTATTAGGTCTTTATTAACCTTTGAAAAAAAAATCCAAAGCATCTATTTCTTCATATTTTGGTAAAGGTACAGGATCTTCAATTATGTCCTGTCTTTATACAGGTTTTAATCTACCTTGTTATGTAATATTAAAATATTGAAGAGTTTCTTCGAGATAATCTTAAGTAGGTTATGGAATATCCCTCCTTCTTCTGGGTTCTATAATTTGTTATTGATTTGTTTAATTATTATTCTATTATTATGGTTATTCAACTTTTTTATCACTTTTCCCAGTATCTAATCGTTCCCCTTTGAATACATCTACAACTATAGGTCCTTTTCCTTTTCTAGAGGGAGGAGGTTTTGAATCCTCTAATTTCTCCTACTTTTTTTCAATAATATCTGATTAATCAATCTAACCTCTGAGTTTTTATGCGAATTTAGATTGAGTATTCTAAAAGGTTGGGAATTTGAAATTATCCATAATTTGAATTTCTGTTCCATAATCATCAATTTCAAAGCCTGTGCCTTTTTTAATTTCCACAATTTTAGAAATGACTTTACCATTCTATCTACATAATACTTCCATATCTCTGACTCCCTTAACACTATCAATCAAACTCTTATTATAATTAAAGATCTTGATTCCTCCAAGAACAATATCATCATCATAAGAGATTTCAATATCAATAGTTTTTGGAGGATCAGGCATGCTTCCTAACCACATATTTACTGCATCTTTGGTTAAGTATTTACCATTAATAAGGATTTCAGGCATTTTAAGGGATTAAGCATTGGTCATTTTAATATTATATGGTTTAAGTTAAACTTTATTACCATCAGTTGTATAAAGTTCTATTTCAGTAAGACCAACTAAACTTGGATTACCCCAAGTGGAAAGTATTCTAATTTTTAATTAGCAATTCTTATCAATCAACAAATCAGAATTTTTTTCAGTATTAATTTATGCCTTTTCTTAGTTTACAAATTCTTATTGCATTTGAATGACATTATTAATACTTGCATTCCTTTTTTTGTTTTCAATTTGAGGTATTTATAAGGATGGTTAATTATTTGTAATTTATTAAGGGGTAATCAATGATACTTATTCCTTGGGTTTATTTTCAATAATTTATATCTCTTTTTACTGTTTCTATTATTTGATAGCCATATCTAATTTAAATTTTTACTAGTTTTATTCATTTTATATTTCTGATCTATCAGTCTTCTCTTCTAAATCTATAGTGTTCCTATTTAAGAATAGAATTAGCTTTTATTTCTCATTACTAGATAACTTTTCAATTTTTTCAAACAGCTCTTCAAGATTATCCTTTTTTTCTTATGGCTTCTAACTTTGCGAGGTTTGAGGAGGATTGAAGGAGTGATTATCATTTTTAATATCTTCTTATTTAGTGACAGAATTAGCCCTTAATTGAGGTTTGGATGCATATTATTTGATTTCTGGTTTAGCTAAAGGTGTAGGTTTAATTTCAGTGGATGGTTATTTAAATTACTATGGTTGTTACTATTGAATTTAAGGTTATTCTGAAATAGCACTGATGGGCCTTGGTTTAGTAGCAGGTAAATTGACAACTTATATTACTTGTTATGGCTATTGTTATTGAACAATTGGTTGAATTTGTGGTTTAGTTTTTTCAAAATCATCTTTATAAACATTTTAATCATTTTCTTCACCTTCAGATTAACACAACTTAGTTATTCAAATTTTTAATTACTTCTTCTTCTTCTTAAATTTATTGTTCATCCAATTCATCATTATCACTATCTAATAATTGTGAAAAATGAGGGTCATATCTATGATCAATGGGTGTGTCTTTCTGCAATTTTTCAAGCAAATCCTATTAAGATTTGCTGAGCACATTACCTGAATTAATGATGCCCAATACCTTACACTAATGATTTCCTCAAAACCTCCAAATCATCATGATCAAGAGTACCTATCTTCTAGGATTGACTCTTTTCATCATTCCATTTCTTAATACTCTTGGTTTTTAAATTCAATTAATTTTTGTTCTTCTAATTAACCCTATCCTTGTTGGCTCCAGAGATGAAAGTATCAAAACCCTTCTCCCGCAATTGTTATTATTATTTCTTTTATTATGGTTTCATTTTATGTTCTTATTTATTATTTATGGATTAAATTTTATTGGATGTCTAACAAATGACTCAAGAGAGAGTCCTTGAAATCAAAGATTAAGTACTTTCCCTTTTTTATAACATATTTTTAGAATGAAATAAGAAATTACTTTGCTTCAATACAATTGTCAAATCAATCGATATCCACTTTGGAATCACTTCAACCCTAAAATTTATCTGATCAACTAGTCTACTTGACTATCCAAATAATTGATGTCTTAGATTAGGATGTCTTCATAGGAGCTGTATCCTAAAACAATCAAGTCATCATCTACCCATTAGGTTGTGATTCCCCAATTAATGGATAACCTCTCTACTTTGATAAATAAGCATATACAGCATGTATTCTAGATCCCAACCATCTATTCAAACCAACAAAATCAATTGTCACTCTCTACTCCAACTTCAATGATTCTATCAAACCAAAAATATTCAATAAATTCAATATCCTAGCACTTAAACATGAATACGAAGATGAAATCTTCTTCAATGTTATTAAATACATACAACCAACATTCAATAATCAAATCAACAAATAATAACTCTATTAATAATTAATCAATAATCTTAATCTTATACTCAAAGACCATTTAGTTTCAGAACTATTGGCCTTGCATCTTCTCTCATCTGCTAAATATGAAACTTATGCTGAAGGTGCCAGATAAATATTAAATATTTATGGATTAACTAAAAATGATGCTGATAACCTTAAATCAGTCATATAATCCATCTATTCCCCTACACTTTACATTCCACTTGAATATGAATTTCTGTCTAACATTGAAACTCTTTCTAAAAAAAATTTTGATGAAAACACAATATCACAAGGACTTCTTTGTATTCCTACTAATATTAACTCTCAAATAGTTGTAGATGAAACATTAATGAAGGAGGGTTAAATTTCAGGAAAGACTTTATAAAATCTTTAAAATATTCAAAAATTTATTGAACATTCTAAGATTGGAATTGATTTTTAATATTCAATGGTGGAGGTACCAGTATAAACTAATGTACTTATACTTTCAACTGGTAAGAGCTTTATATAAACTTCTGATTCTATTAAAGTTAATCCACAAAATCACATTTAAAATATTCCAGTCAATTATTAAGGTTTAGAAGAGTTTGTTAGTTAAGTTCATTAATAATAATAAATGTAAATGAATATTGATGAAGAATTAAAGAAAAAAATAAATTCAAGATATATTGAATTAAGATAATAAAACAATTTGAAAATTGATGTCAATAATTTAAATAATTGGATTTTACAAATGAAAATATTGAGTTTGATCAAATAAGAAGAATCAAATTACAATAATTTTGAATATGCTGTTAATTTGGATATTGAAAGAATTAAGAGAAATATGTGAGTAATATTGTTTATAATTTAAATATATAATATAAAAAATGTCCCAAGAACCAAGAGCATAAACAGTTGGAGCTTTTGATAATAAAATTAGTTCAGTTGTTCCATTATCATAATTAAGAAGAATTCAATAAAATTGCTTTGGAACATAGGAAAATTTTGGATTAATCCAAAAGATGGAACTGTAATTATATGATTAACTGAGAAAGACATGCAAAATCTCAGGAAAGAGTAAAGAGATGGCCAAATACAATTAATGCTTTAAGAAAGAAGAAAGATCAAACTAGATTTGAAAGATTCAAAGCTGATGAAGAAGAGAGAAGAAAATAAGAAGAAGAAGAAGCATTATATTAAGCATAAGTGAAATAAGAAATATTGGAGAAAGCCAATCGTTAGATATATGAGGCAAATCCAAGAGTTAGACAATTTCAAAGCAAATTATTGATTACTGATGTTATATAGGAAAGAGATGCACAAGTGGAATTAAATAAATATAAGAAAACTATTTTGGAGTAAATTAGTTAAATCAATCTATACTTAGGATGAAGGAAGAAGCTCATCATGAAGAAGTGTTAGAGAATGTAGCACGATTATAATAGATAGAAGAAATTAAATAGGAAGAAATGAGGAAAAAGAAAATGGAGTAACGAAAAATATTGAAATAATAACATGATGAAATGGTCAATAATCATATAAAATAAATATAAAATGATAGAATAGAAGGATAATTGAATAAGGCTAAGGCAGAGTAATTAATAAAAGATGAAGAAGAAGCTGAAAATGAAAGAAAAAGGAAAAGATTAGCTAATATAGAAGAGGTTAAGAAAGGTAATGAGGAAATCAAAGAATAAAAGTAACTTTAGAAGATTAAAGAATAAGAAGATGATGAAAGAATAAGAGCTTATGCAGAGAAAAAAGAAAAAATAATGGAAATGAGAAAAAAGAGAGAAGAACTTAAATTTAAAGAAAAATAAGAATAAAGATAAAGATTGATTGATGCTTAAATAGCTAAATTAGAATCTATTGAACATGAACATTAAAGAATATTAAATAAATAGATTTAAGAAGCAGAAATAAAAGCAGAAGAAGTAGAAAGAATAAAAAGAGAAAAATAAATATAATTGAAAAAGAAAATAGATGAAAGTAGAAAGATTACTTCTGAATTTAGAGCTAGAGATTCAGAATAAAGAGTAAAAAATGATAAAGAATTCTAAGAATATTGGAAATAAAGAGCTGAAGAATTAAAGAAAATGGAAGATGATGAAAATGAATAAATTAGATAAAGAAGAGTTTAACTTAAAAATTTTTAGCTTTCTTAAATTGAAGAAAAACAAGTATTTTTATATATTTATAATAGAAATTAAGAGAATAATAAATTCTCTAAGAATTAGATGAAGCTGAAGAAATATTAAGAAAAAAAGAATGTTGTAGCAGAACATTCACATCATGGGCATAAAGAGCAGTGGAAGAATGGTAAAGTAATGGTAAAAATGTTTATCCAATGCTTAAAGAACTTACAGCTCAATAATAATTATGATTATAAGAATTCGTTTTATATTATTTATAGTATAATTTAATGAGGATTATCATTCTGATATTTTTGTTATTCATTGCATATGCTTAAGATTAACTTAAACAAGAAGAAGCCATCTAGATTGTAAAAGATCTCAAAGATGCAACTACAAAAAGGTTAGAGTTATTAGAAATGACATGGAAAAAGTATTCAACTAAAAAAAATGATTAAATTTGTGGTTTCACTGATATGGTTGCTGAATAAGAAACTCAATGCCAATCTAGAAACAGTCAAAATGAATTTATTTCTTAATCTATCAATTAGTCAACTGAAACTATTGAAACCAATAAATTAAAAATTGATAAAAATGTTCAAAGACGTAAAAATCTATAAGAATTAAAGTAAATTTTATTATATTTATAATAGATGCAAATCAAATGTGAATAATATTAAGTTACTTAAGGATTAAAAGGAAGCCAAAACATTATCCATACAATTACAAAAATCATTTGCAGTATTCAATTATTAGTAAATAGTAAAGTAGTGGTGGAAGTCTTTTGGAAATGCTGTAAAATAATAGTTTATATGAACAATAAAATCAAGAAGTAACAGAATAAGAAGCACAAGTTATTAAATTAATATGTAACTTTTATTAACATATTAATAGAGGAAGCATATTAAGATGAAGGAGATGCAACAAACGTAGATTCATCTGAATACAGTTCATAATTATAAATTAAGTAAAATTAATAATCATTACCTTATTCATCCTAAAAATCTATGGAAAAAAATCGTTATTTGATTATTAGTACATCACAAGAAATTGCAGAAAAAATTGATAAAGATTAATAGAGTATTACTTTAAATTCTATCAATTCTGTTAATAAAATTGATTAATTATGTGGTTAATTGGAAAAGGAAAATGAAATATTAAAGAAGTTAATAGATATAGAAGGAGAAAGGAAGGTAAATTTATTATAAATTTGTAGATTGATTTGGATGATCAATTAACAATACTTAATGGTGAGAATTAAGAATGTGATAATAGTAAAAGAAAAATGGAAATAATTGCATTATTGTTACAATAAGATTATGATAGAGAATAGATTCTATATATGAAGGAAAAAGAGGCTATACTAAAAGAATTAGATATTTACACCGACTTATTAAGATATTATTTAAGATAAATCTACAAATCGGAAAATTGATAATATAAAAATAAAATTTATAATTTTTATTACTCTTTTAACTTAGTCTAATTATGATATTTATTTAATAATTACTTTAATATCTTTATATATTAAATAAAATAAAATAATAATTCAATAATTTTCATCACCCATAATTTCCCTTCTTTTTTCTTTAGCTAATCCATTCATAAATTCAACCAAATTACTACTTAAAAACATATTCTTATTTTTTTCAGAAAATTACTTAATTATATTATAACAATAATTTTAGAACTAAAATTATATTTATTTAATATTACTCCTTGTTATTATAAAAATGTGAAGAACTCCAATAAATTTTCTTTACATTTTAAATGAACATCAGGATGATATATCAATTAAAGCATCCTTTAAAATATTTCATTAGAATTGTCTAATACTTATTATTGAATAGTCTAAAACATAAAGAATTTTTGTAAAATCACTTAAGCTATTGAACATAAATCTTCATTTGACAAAGCCAAAAATAATAATCTTTTAGTATTCTCAAATATTTTAAGCCAAATTTCACCATCAGATTCCAATAATTTTTTGTGTAAACATCCATATATAATTTCTAAATGTTCATGTTTAAAAAATTATATATCCTTTTCCTTAACATATACATCCATAGCTTAAGCAATACCAACACTATTCCAAACTATAGGTGCTCCAGTTATTTTGTATCGAAATGAATTGCAGCCATTTACTACTTACTGGATTAATGTTTCTTGTGTATTTAAAACTGAAATTCTAATTTCAGAATCTACTGATAATAGGATCTCTAAATATCTAGGACACAATTCTGAATACATTTATAAAACAGGAGCAAGATAAATTAATCCAATTCTAATTACATTTGGAGTTGTAGATACAACAAATACTTAATAAATTAAATCCAATAATAATTGTTTTGATTACTCAAAATCTATTGTAAATTCTTATTCATCCATACTCTTATTTGAATTTTAAGCTATTTATAATAATAGATCAGCACAAATACTCATACCTTAAGCTCTAACTTCCCACCAAGAATCATTCATTAATTTTTGAATTCTACTAATCTTTTATAAAACTGGAAGATAATCCCAACTAGAAATTTAATTGATAATTCTTAAACCATTAGCTCTTGTAAGAGGAGATGGTGAATCTAATGAATTAAATGCATAATTTAGAAAAAATCTATACAATTCTTCATCTTGACTAGGATAGTCAGATTGTATTAAAATACTTAATATAAGTGTGAATGCATTAAGATCAGTAGATAATTTGCTTTTAATACTTTTCAATAGTTATGTTCTATTAACACAATTTATAGGTGTGAAAACAAAAAAGAGTTAAACAATATCTTCCCTTTTCTTTGGATTTCTCAATGCAATTTATAATAGTTAATCTAATAAAATGCTTTCAAACATCATTTATGTATCATTTGGATCTATTTCTACTAATTTTGATCCTATAAATCTTATTAATTCTAAAATAAATTGATATGTCTTTGAAGTAGGTTTCAATATTTGAATAGGTCTTAAGAATATTTAGAAGAATCTTTTAAAATCTATATTATAACATAAATAGACTACCTATAAAATTACTCTGAACTTATTCTAGGATTAATTATGAATGAACATCTATAAATTAAGTTAATAATAGTTTCAATGACTTTTTTTAAACTTCATCACATCTTAAAAAGAGTTATTAGATAACAGCTGTATATTGAACATTCTGATTACTAACTTAAAATCCATTATTTTATTATGATTCTTTTGGTTCAAGTTTTAAATCTTAGATATCCTTTTTTATTGGATCTTTCTTAAATAATGAAGCACATGCTTCATGTAAGAAATCAATTACACCTTTAGTCTCTAACAATTAACCTTACTATTCTTTTGCTTTTTTACTAGTACTACTATGATAGCAATTAATTTAAATTTCTTTGACATCTTAACCTGTTTAAGAGATTGATTAATCTAAATTAACAAGTTTTTTATTAAATTTCATTTACTTTTTAAGTAATTCTTCCTCTTGTTTTTTAATTTCTTCTTCTATTTATTTTTTTCGTTTAAGAATAAGATATTCAATAATATTATCATCTTTCTTATCATTTCTGACTTTTTCAACATGTTCTTCAATAGCTTATTTAGTTAACATTTTCCTCTCATTTTCATCAACAATTCTAGTAATTTCTCTGTCTTTAATAATAGTATTTGCTGTTGGTCTTGCATATGTAGGTTAAACAGTCATAGGCTTAGTTCTTTACAAAGTTGCTTATTATTTAACTTGCTTCTTCATATCTCTATTGTCTTTATCAGGATATATGGTGCCTATTTTCTTTTTAGTTAAGAATTCAAAAAGTTTAAAGAGTAATGCTTATGCTGCATCTGGAGCTTAATAATAAATTGGTTCATATTCCTCTTATGGAACTTGAAGTTCTTTTTTCTTCAATAACTTTGAGATTTATTCCCAATTATCACGCTTTTTATCCAGATTTTATTCATTATATACAGTGTAGATATTAACTTCTTTAGGGTAGTACCTAGATAATATTTCAGCAATGATGAAACTACTATAGGATATAACCATACCCATTTGCTAAATCTCTCCTCAAATTACGAACCTAATATGCTAGATCTAATGAATCTAACCATTTTGCTACTTCTCTTGGAATAGGACCTTAAGGTGGTTCGATCATTTGTACAATTAAATAAAATATTGAAATAATATAATAAACAATTAAAAGAGTAATATCTAACAATCATTATCTAGATAGGATAATCTTTTCAACACGAGTACTCAATAAATTATTATTCACAAGCATTAATTTAATACTCTTTGCATTAAGAATAAAATTATAGATGTCTATAATATTATCATTAAATAATACCCTCCTCTTTAAATAATATTTTTTTCAAATTTATTCTTTACAAATGTAATTTCTAAATTTACAAAAGAGAATAAGTATTGATTTCTTAACAACCTTCTAAATTCAAACTATGCAACTTAAAGAGACTACTAATTATTATTTCTAAAGCCTCATTTGTTACAATATTATCTTTGATTGAAAATGATTGCAAAGTTTCAATATTCTTCAAAGAACTACACTAAAAAAGTTTAAATAATCATTTTAATTACTTTTATTAAATCTAATTAAGGATTCTATCCAATATCAAGCCTTTCAAGCTTTTTACAAGTATTTCCTATTATTTCAAAAATATTATTAGTTAATCCATCACATTTTAATATCATTAAGGTTTTGAGACCTTATAGTTATTCTAAGATAACATTAATATTTTCATCCTTTAAATTACTATTGTTTTAGATATTTATTAAACTTAATTGAGTACATTTACCAATTATTTCAAATCCTTTGCCAGTCATAAATTGACAACTAATTAATTATATATATTAGAGTGATTTACTAAAATAATTAAATATAAAATTATTACTAACTCTCTGTACAAATGCTATTTAAATCTTTATCTGTCAAAAACACTGATGTATATTGTTTTTTTGGTTCAAGTTTAAATAATTCCAATAATGATCCTTATTGTTATGAATTATCAGATAACATTGTTCTTAATTCTGTTTTCTCTAAAAATGAACTGATTTTTTATCCTTTAATCATTTCTCGTACTTTCTTAATGTGCTTTAATTGTTTACTTGATCGTTTCAATACAGTAGCAAGTTCCTTTTCATTAAATCTTAAACTATTAAAAAATAAGAATTACCTTGATGTTTCGAACTCCCTGAAAAAACTATATGAAAAATAGATATCATTATAACAAATCATCCAAAATTTGCATACTTAAGAACATGTAGCGCACTCTCTTAATTGCAAAAATTTGTAAATCTAATAGATCAAATTTTTTGGTAAAAATGGCCTTTATTTATATTGTAATATAAAAATACCACTTCTTTTGTTACAATGAAGATTTCCTAATCCAATTATCTAAATTATTTGACCCCTTCTTTTTATTAATGTAATTTTCTGTCTTACATTAAATTTCTTATGTAGGAGGAGTACAAAAGAATAACTAGCAAAATATAAACTAATAACCTTACATCTGAATTGAATTTGGTTCTTATAGGGGATTACTACTATTCTTATGCTTTCTTTGAGAAAAACTTGGTCAACTAAGTTTATTTTTGCATAATTTAATTATATTTTTTGGAGGTATATTAATTCTTATACTTCATAAATTTAGATAGTCAAAGTTTCTTCAAATTAAATTAATTGTATAAAATTAATTAAAGCTATGAATTTACTTAAGTATTTCCTTCCAATAATGTTACTAATTATTAAATTAAAAATTCTACATAAAAAATAAACAATAGTATTTGTTTGATTAAATTTAATATCTCAAAATAATAATCAGTTAAGTTGAAACATTTAAAAGTTTGTTAAAATCTATCAAAGATATATAGAATGATATTATTCAAACAAAAAAGAGTATTTAAATTTCATTATTGAAAGTGAAAGTAAATTTGAATTTTTGTTTTTATATTCTCTTTAGTAAATTAATATAAAAATTATTTCATTTTAAGATTAAATGAAAAAAAAGTGGAAGAAATCTTATTGTATATTGTATAAAGGATAGATTAAAAGTTGATTATTTTACTTTAATATAGAGACTAATCTATTTTATTGATTATATATCTTTAGAGTAGTATTGAGTAGTATTGTAATTAAATCAATTTTTAATATAGAAATATCTTTACTATACTATAATCAATTGTAGTAGATATTATTTATNGTACAAATGCTATTTAAATCTTTATCTGTCAAAAACACTGATGTATATTGTTTTTTTGGTTCAAGTTTAAATAATTCCAATAATGATCCTTATTGTTATGAATTATCAGATAACATTGTTCTTAATTCTGTTTTCTCTAAAAATGAACTGATTTTTTATCCTTTAATCATTTCTCGTACTTTCTTAATGTGCTTTAATTGTTTACTTGATCGTTTCAATACAGTAGCAAGTTCCTTTTCATTAAATCTTAAACTATTAAAAAATAAGAATTACCTTGATGTTTCGAACTCCCTGAAAAAACTATATGAAAAATAGATATCATTATAACAAATCATCCAAAATTTGCATACTTAAGAACATGTAGCGCACTCTCTTAATTGCAAAAATTTGTAAATCTAATAGATCAAATTTTTTGGTAAAAATGGCCTTTATTTATATTGTAATATAAAAATACCACTTCTTTTGTTACAATGAAGATTTCCTAATCCAATTATCTAAATTATTTGACCCCTTCTTTTTATTAATGTAATTTTCTGTCTTACATTAAATTTCTTATGTAGGAGGAGTACAAAAGAATAACTAGCAAAATATAAACTAATAACCTTACATCTGAATTGAATTTGGTTCTTATAGGGGATTACTACTATTCTTATGCTTTCTTTGAGAAAAACTTGGTCAACTAAGTTTATTTTTGCATAATTTAATTATATTTTTTGGAGGTATATTAATTCTTATACTTCATAAATTTAGATAGTCAAAGTTTCTTCAAATTAAATTAATTGTATAAAATTAATTAAAGCTATGAATTTACTTAAGTATTTCCTTCCAATAATGTTACTAATTATTAAATTAAAAATTCTACATAAAAAATAAACAATAGTATTTGTTTGATTAAATTTAATATCTCAAAATAATAATCAGTTAAGTTGAAACATTTAAAAGTTTGTTAAAATCTATCAAAGATATATAGAATGATATTATTCAAACAAAAAAGAGTATTTAAATTTCATTATTGAAAGTGAAAGTAAATTTGAATTTTTGTTTTTATATTCTCTTTAGTAAATTAATATAAAAATTATTTCATTTTAAGATTAAATGAAAAAAAAGTGGAAGAAATCTTATTGTATATTGTATAAAGGATAGATTAAAAGTTGATTATTTTACTTTAATATATCTTTAGAGTAGTATTGAGTAGTATTGTAATTAAATCAATTTTTAATATAGAAATATCTTTACTATACTATAATCAATTGTAGTAGATATTATTTATAATGATTCAAATAAAAAAATTGGGGAAGGTTAGAAAAAAAGAATAAACTAATTAATTTTCAATCAAAAAATTTCTAATTTTTCTATTTTCATTTATCATTAATATTTATTTTTATGTCTCTAAAATACTCAGATCTCTATGAAGAATTAGAGACCATAGGAAGTGGAAGTTATGGTATCATGATATTCCATTTTCAATAGGATCTGCTTATTTGGTTAAGAATAAAAAGACTGGTCAATTATCAGTGGCTAAAAAAGTTCATTTGGGGAAGCTTTCAGAGAAAGAGAAAATAAGTGCTTTGAGAGAAGCAGAACTTTTAAAAAGTCTTGATCATCCTAATATAGTGTAATACATGGGAAGTTTTGCAGATAGTAGTTAATTGATAATATTAATGGAATATTGCGAAGGTAAATTATATAATTTTATAAATTTTTTAGAAGGAGATTTACAATATCACATAAAAAAAAGAAAGTAAGGTAAATAAATCCAATACTTTCCTGAGAAAATGATTTTGAATTGGTTTATTCAATAATTATTTGCTCTCTAATTCATCCATTCTAAAAAGATCTTACATAGAGATATTAAAACAAGTAATATATTTCTTACTTCAAATGGAACAGGTATTAAATTATATTGTTATTCTTAGTTAAACTTGGAGATTTTGGTGTTTCTAAAGTATTAGAAAGTACTATAGATTAAGCATCAACTGTTGCTGGTACTCCTTATTATATGAGGTATTTAAGTCTTTCTGATAATAGTCCAGAAGTTTGTGAAAATAAACCATATACTTTTAAATCAGATGTTTGGGCTCTTGGATGTGTTTTACATGAATTATGTACTTTCAAACATGCTTTTGATGCTAAGAATATTTTAAGTCTTGTAACTAAAATTTTAAATGGATAAACTGAAACTCTACCTTCTCATTATTCAAAGGATTTACAATAATTAATACATAGACTTCTTACTAAATAAGTATAATCACGTCCTCTAGTTGCTGAAATTATTAATATGCCATTTATTTAATCTGTTATGTAAGATTTTATTAGAAGTGGAGGCAAATAAAACTTTTGTTCAGTTGTTGGAGTCAAAAAAATAAAATAACATGAAATATAGGCTCATAATTAACATTAAATATAATAAAATCAGATAAATCAACATAAATAAGATTAAGAATCATATGAACATTCTATAAAAGATGAAATATATAAAGATAAGGATGATGAAATTATTAATTAGACTGTTATATCATAATCATTAAATAAAAGTAAGATTTTAAAAAATAAATAGAGTAGATTGATAATGCAAGTAAATATACTATTGGTGAAACTATTATGAGTTAGGGATCATAGTTTTTTGAATCAGAACCAAAATAAATATCTCCAAAATCTATATTAAAATTAAAAAAAGAATAAGAAACCTAATAAAAAATTGATATGTTATCCAAAGCAGCTTAAAATATTAGTCAGTAAAATTAAAAAGAAGCTGAATTAAGAAAAATCTAAAATCTTTATGGAACCTAATCATAATTTTATCAATAGAAACAATTAGAAATATAATAAACTACAACATAATAATAATTTTATTAAAAATAATAACAAATAGAATCGCCTTTATAAAAAAATTAATAATAATAATAATAAATTAAATAATTGTAATAATAGAATAATAATTTTGATTAAAGTTTATAATCTTCTTCTAAATTCAAACCTATTGATGAAGAAGTTATGAAAAAAAGCTTATTAAATTTAAAATAAAAATAAGCTTAAAAAAAGGAATAATCATTTAAATAATAAACAATGGATTATCAAAATGATGAATATCCTGAAGATTTTGAGTATTATGATGATTTTGAAGATTATGATTCTGATAATGAATTTTAAAATGAAACAGTTATTAATGAAGAAATACTAGGTGATGAAATGGATGGAACTAGATTGACATAAAGATAATCTGATTAAGATTTATAAAATGTTGTAGAAGTTTATAAAAATGAATTAGCAAAAGCTAAAAGTGCTAATGAAACTTTAGCAGGTAACCTAGTTATTTTAGTATTATTTAGAAATATAAGAAGAACCTGAATCTTCTTATTCATCCAGCTTTTACAAAACTGATGAGAAATTCAAGCCTAAAATTTCAATGATAGAAAACTTAAAAAATAGTATCTTGTAATAAATTCCATAGGATTTATTTAAAATTGCTTACAATAGAATTTTGAGTTCAATTGAAAATAAATAAAGTTCTTAAGAAGTATATTTTTATTACATATATTATATAGATGTACAAAGACTTAAAATAGATATTAGGCAAAAAGTATTCAGGAGCTGGATTTTAAATAGAATAATTGATTTATCAGGAGCAATTATATAAACACTTTCAAAACTGAGTTTTTTCATATATATCATATATAAATATTGTAATATAATAAGAATTATATTAGATCTAAAAAATAATGAGTACAAGTCAATTTGAAAAAACCAAGCCCAGATGTTTAGAAGCTTAAAAATGTTTAATTTTGCTTTGATAGAAATGTGATCCACACTATTAATAAGTCACCTAATGAATACATGTAGAAAAATAAAAGAAGTCAAATAAGATAAATATCTCTAAAAAATAAATAATATGAATAAGAATAAGCAGAATTAATATCTTCAGATAATGATACTCAAGATTTTCCTTAATTAGAAATGAACCAACAATATTATAGTATTATATAATGGAAAAAGTTATAAGATGAGAAATTGTTAAAAATGGCAGGAAATAATTTGATAATTTAAAACTCAAAACATTAAAATGATTTACCAAAATTACAAACTCTTCCTTTAAAATCATGTCTAAAGAAAATTAATGAGAAAATATCTGATGATTAATTGAAAACATAAATTTCATAAGAAAAATTGAAACTTAAAGAGCTTTAGATTAAATAATGTATCATTGTTACTGAATTTAACAACATTATGAATGATGATAATAATGAAGTAATATAATGAATTACATCTTTAGATATCCATTACTTTAGATGAATTAGATGATTTCATTTTTAAACATACAGAGTAAAAGAAAAAAGAAAAGTTTAATATATCTAAATTTGATAATATAAAGAAAAGAATAGATCTTAATCAGAAAAATCAAATTTGATCATTATTTCCTAAAAAACAATTTATTAATTATAAATATTTATAATGAATTAAGTCAATTAAGTTCTTCAAAAACCTTAAATGTACTTATTAATTATGAAGTAGTGATAAAAAGGTCTTTGACAGTACAAGTTATGCACTACCAAAAAGTGATTAAATTACTACCAGATTATCTGAGAATTTTTCTAAATTTGGTGCCACTTATTCCTAATTTACAATTGCTATAGTTGTTTTGGGTGGATTAACAAATTTAGTATTTTTAATTAGTGTAGGATTAAGTATTGCCTTGTATAAATTTTATATTATTCTTAGTTGGTATATTGCTTTAAAAAATGATGATCTATTAGATCATATTCCTAATTTTGGTTACCTAACAACAGATAAAAAAAAGGTTGTATTGTTTTTATGTAAGATACTTAACATAATTTAGTGAATGTTCTTATTTTGTATATGTTTTGTGGAGATTCCATATTCACTTATATAGGAGTTGGGTAATAAAATGATATTAAATTAGATTCCTTATATCATTTCTTCACTCATTTTTATTTGTATCACCATCAACAGGAGCATTAATTGATGGATAATCTAATCAACAAACAAATTAGGATCTAACATAATATGTAAATTTTAGTAATAATAACAATATTGAATTATAATATAAATGATGAATAGTATATTAAATGTAATATCAAATTGATATCTATAGCTAATATAAGTTTTTGCTGAATTGATTCTTATTTTATAACTTTCTGTTAAAATACGTATATTTAGAATTTAAAAATTGAATATAAAAACTATTCCAATATAATTCTAAATTATAATCGAATCAATAATTATTATATAGACTTCTTTATTCAAACATCTTTATTATATCATGTATTTTCTCATTGGACTATTGTTAATACTTCATAATTAATTAATTTATATCTTAATCTTCAAGTTATTCAACTTCTTGTTTTTCTTTTCTCCAAATTTCATCTGATTTACTTTTCAATTATATAAGTTCCTAAGATTTCTATCCTTATGTTAGAAAAACCTAATTATCAGTTGGTAATTTCTCTTATAATTACTTTAAATGTTCTCTAATTTCTATTTACCAAGCAGAAATGAATGCCCAACATACTAAATGCTTATGATTATTAATATTATATAAATTCTTTTTACGTGATTAGTAATGATTAGTATTATTAACTTAATATCTTAATTCTAGCAGTTCAGTCAATGTACCTATGAAATCTTAATGAATGTAAGGATTTAATATATCCATTATTGGATGTTATGTTTATATAGTAACATTATTTCTTCCAAAAAAAAAAAAGTTCATCTCTTTCTAATCTCCTATCAAATTGATTTATAAATGTTTTTCAAGTTTTCTTAATAAATCATTTTAACAATTCTAAATTATTTATGATAATAAATATTATACCCTTATTTTATATAAAAATATCTTTCGCTAATTTTTAAAGTCCTTAAAGACATCAAACTATTCTTGAATATCAGACTAATATCTTTTTGATCTTCTTCCACTGACACATTTAAATATAATTTGACATTGGCTTGCTAGTATTATTAATATCTCTGTTGCTTCTTTGGATTAAAACCAATATAATTATTAATTAAAGTTTGTAGGTTCGATATAAAAATTTGAAGAGCTAAAATTTTATAATATGGGTTCACTATTGTTTTAATTATAATTTTCTGAATTCATAAAATATATTATAAATAAATTGAATTAAAAAAAATTATATATAATACTAACCAGATAGATTATAATAAAATTCAGTATATTTTATTAATTAATTTAAAAATAATAAAAGTAAATCAATTAAGATTTTATTAAATTTATAAATTTAGAAAGTATTGACATTATACATTTATTTATAACATTGATTTAAATAACAAAAATATTTACAATTTAAACTATTCAAAGAAAGAAGGTTCTCTGTTATCATTATTAGATTTTGATAAATTTTTGGTTATTTTTATTGATTCATACTTAAAAAGAATATCTTAAGATACATTTTATACGATTTTATAATGAATTTTATTAACATTTATTAATTATCCATATATATTATATAAAAAAGTCATTTCTTGTTATTAATATATATATTATATATCAGATTCAATAACAATATATACCTTATAATTTAGGATATCTTTTTCGATTTCAATTTAATCATTTTTCAAATCTTAATTCTGCTTGATAAGATCAACAATAGTGTGATTGGGTTTACAATGGATATTAATATTAACTAATTGCTTTTGTTAAATTTACTAATTCTATTATTAGAGTATTTTATTTTTCACTTGATTAGGAGGCTAAGGAAATTATTTATTTTTTTTTTTTTAGATTACTTTTGGTGGTTATGTATCAACAGGAATGCTATAGAAACAGCTGCTAATAAAGACTTTGTATCTAGGAAAAGGTAATTAGAGAGACCTACTTATGCAGAAGATAAAAAAAGTGTATACATTTTTTTAGCATGAGGTGTCTGGTAATTAATATTTTAATATTATATCAACTCTTTATTTCTGGTCTAACAATTGTTTCTGGTTTAAAATATTAAGTAGATAAATTGCATCCTAAAGATGCTAATTATCCAATAATCATTCTACAGATGGCTGGAAGTGAGACATGTTTTAAGTGGGGATCCATTTCTTATTTCACTTTAGCTATTTATATATATATATTTATATATATATACCTATTTCATAAACTTATTACAATGATATAGTATCATACCATATATAACCAGGGAAATTTGTGAATTTATCAGTACCTATGAGTAAGATTATTAGATTCAATTATACCTGTTGCTTTTCTAAGAAACCAAGTCGTTTCAGGTGGTTTGATAAGAAATTTGAATGTTCTATCTGGAAAGGCAATAACCTAAACTCTAAGTGGAACATCTGGTCTAAAGGCTTAACTTGCAGCATTAAATTCCTTGCAAAATTGCATCATATTAATTCCCAATGGTCCCAATGATTAACCCATTTTAGGACTTGGTTTAGCAACACCAGCATAAAGTCTTAACATGATTTTGGCTCTGTAATCTTTTGGGAGGGTCTATAATTTTTTTTTTATCAAATTCATTTAATTTTTATTAATATGTTTGGGACCCAATTTGATTACTTGAAACTCAAGCCAAGAACAGTAGAAGAAATACATCATGAAGATGGTTATATAAAAGAAGGAATTGAAAGAACAGCAACAAGAAGAATCTTTTAATCAGTTGAATATGATCATTTCGAGAAGAAATAAATTTAATAATTCAAAGATATCGTTAGAGGTGCTAATATAAGTGTTAGTTCTGATGATGTATTATTAAGATTTCTTTATGCAGGATATTTCAATATGACTAATTGTTTAGAAGTATTTTAAATTCCATTTTAAATTAGTTATATAAACGACATATACATTGGTTGAATACTAGTCGTCTCTCTACTATACCAGATAAAGTACTCTTATGTTTAAGAGAAGGATTAGTTTATATAGGAGGCAAAGATTATTAATATCGTCCAATTATAGTTATTAATTTACATATGATGGATCTATATCTATTCGATTCAGATGCCTTTATACATGCTCTATCTATTTTATTTGTTATTTGTGAAGATTATATGTTTTATCCAGGAAAAGTTGAAAATATTGTTGTTATTGTTGAAACTGATTAAATGAGTCTTTATAACTTTCCTTAAAAAACATTTCAAGTTATTATCTGGATGATGAGTTAAAACTTTCCACAAATATTAGATCGTCTTTATCTATTTAATCCATCTAAAGAATTACTTATGAATTGGGATAATTATCATTAAATGTTAGATAGTAGAACATTCAAAAAAATTGAAATTTGGGAATCTAAATCTTTTGCTCCTCTTGCTCATGGCTTTCATCCTGATATGTTAGAACGTAGATTTGGAGGAGGCATGCCTAATATTCAGTAATATTGGTTACCAACTCAAATCATATAATAACCTAGCAGTATTTCTTATAAAGTTCAAAAACCCATTTATAATCAAGGAACTATTCAATATTCTCTTTATAATGATCCAAAAGAATTATTAGAACGATTACAACAAAGAGATGCAGAAGATAGGTCATAAGAAGCTACACTCAAAAGTGAACCTAAATCAAGTGTTGCTTCTGGTAAATTGTAAGTTATTGATTTTCATTAAACTATGGGTAATGCCTTTAAAATTTAAAATAATGGCTATGAATAATAAGATCTAAGTTAAACTAATTTCTCAGGAGAATTCTATTAATAAACTAATTAAATATAACAATCAAATTAATAATAATTCATGAATCCAGGATTTTAGGGATCAGCACTTCCAGAATAATAATTTAGATCGAATAGTAAGGCAAATTCTGTGACATCCTCATAAAAAATTAAGGATCAATATATAGCTTAATAATTAATGGGTTCATAATAAAAACCTATAAGTGGAGTTTAACAAACTATGAGACCAAATACAATGCCAGTCCCTTAATTAGGAGCTCCAGCACAATCTGAAAGACTTTATGAATCTATGGATGAAAAATTAAATGATTCTCAAAGACCATCTAGCAATAATGTTTAAGCATGCTCAATTATGTGATAATGTTAAATTCATAATATATATTTCTAATCTATATAATATGATGATAATTCTTTTAACATTTATAAATCAATTTAGTATTATATTGCATATTTAGATATCAATCAAAATCTATATAAATAATATCATACTGATTTTTACTTTTTAAATATAAAATTAAGCAAAAATCTACTACATAATTCTTTTAAATCTATTGTCTGTTTATTAGAATCGAAATAAATATCTGAAATACAATTTCTATTTTTGGTTCTTAATAATGTTTTATTGGTTGAATATAGTTTTAAAGAACTCCTAATTTATCAAAGAATTACAATTAATTTATATTTATAAATTATAGATTTGTGTATTTTTATAATTATATAAGAAATATTTGATTATTTTTGTCCTTCCATACTTAAGAATCTATTATAAAAGATAAGATAAAGAATTAGTTAAGAGTTTGTGATTTGATTTTTATTAAAAGATTACAGAAGATTAGGTATGTAGCAACTTTTTATTCAAAAATTCGTTTTTATTTAATTTATTAAGTTTCTATGAGAAATATTTTCATTTTATGCCTCTCTTTTGTAATTTCAACTGCAACTATGAAAGATTCAAAAGTAATTTTAACAGAGATTGATTCTTAAAGAACTGGAAGAATTTTCTTAAATGCAATTTAAGTTGGTTTAGCAACAGGATCACCTGTACATGAAATTTAGAGTTATATTAACAATATTAGGTATAAATATGAATTATTATGATTACAGATTTATGATAGAGTAAGAATAGAAAGATGCTGATTTATTTATATAAAATACAGAAGCTTCTTGTAATAGGTTGCTTCATGATTTTGCAACAAATCTAGCTTATCATTAATAATAGTTTAAGGCACACTCTAAAATAGTTGAAGTAGGATTTATGATATCTTTTAGGAAAACACAAGAAATTTAGAGAAATCATTGAATAAAATTGCAGAAGTATCAGTTGAGATTGAAGAGAATTAAAGAAAAACTAATGAAGGTTAGAGTGAAAGAGATCTTCAATACTCTGAATTTTAATCCAAATAAAAGGATCATTTAGAATCTATAACTGCTATAGATGAAGCATATTCATTAGTTGAGCATCTTTCAAGTGGATCCTCATTTATATAAGTAAAAGGCAGATTTACTAAAGTTCTTTCTAGATTATAAAAGTAAATCATGTTTATATATAAAGATAGTTAGTCAACATCAGCTGGACTCCTATTTTAACCAATAATCTCTATGATGACATAAATGAATTCTAAAGCTGATACTGAATAAGCAAAAAAAGTTCTTTAATTATTGGCTAATTTAAGAGTTCAAATTGTAGAGAGTAAATCATAAGACGAGGATATCGAAAAGCAATAAGCTCAAAATTGGTAGAAATTTTTATCAGATTTAATTAATGAAAGAAATACTTTGTAAGATTAAAGATAGAATTTAGAATAAGCTATCCTAAATTATTAAAGTATTATAGAAGAATCAGAAGGGAAAATTGAGTATCATTCAGCGGAAGTGGATAGAAATTAAGTAAATAAAAATAAAAAAATAATAGAATAACTTAGATGGTTAAGATTAATGGTGTAGACAATAATAAGAAATTTATTAAATGGAATCATAATAACGAGTTTAATCACTTGATTTAATTTCAAGGATTGTTGATCATATATAGGATAAAATTGTAACACTAAAAGAATATTTAAGAGAAAGATTACAAATAAAATGAATAAAATATATTTATGATTAAATTCATTTTAATACACAATAATTTTCATAATTTTCATAATCATCATAAATAAGTATAATTATGAAATAGATAATTTATATATATATATAAGGATTATTAATAAATTAAATAATGTACTAAATTCTGATTGATATTTATTGAATTAAGAATATTTTATTAATGTATGAATATAATGTATTTCATAATATTATATTTATTAAAATATATTAATAAAAGATAATATTAGAATTTTCAGATTTAAAATAAGTATTTTTAAAGATGAAAGAAATCAATTTAGACAATTATTCTATTTATTGTTTTATTTAATAGGTTGTTATAAGTTTGAAAATTACAAGCATTTCAAACAATAAATATATTTTGAATTGTTGTTAGATTTATAAAAAAATAGTAATAACTAATTTACATTGATTATGAAATAATTTCATTTTCTTTATTAAAATAAATACTTAATTTCATTAATATTTATGTTTAGTTTTGGATATAAAAATTTATATGATCCTAAACCTATTAAACCTGGGCCTGGGTAATATTCATTGTTAATTTAGTGATTATGAACTTAGAAAAGATTTATCAGTTCAAACAATTCAAAATAAAGAAAAAATTATTCATCGTTCAATTAGCAATAAAAAATTATAAAATGATGATTCTTTTATTCATAGACTTAAAAATCATAATGATTGTTATGGTGAATATTAATTAAATGCACAAAGAAAATTACCAGAATTAATATCTAAGTAACAAAATAAACACTCTTTTACTACATCTGAAAGATCAAATTGTTTTTTATTACCTGCAATTTCAAAAGGTCCTCAATACTATGATGTATAAGATATAAAAAGTGATCGTTCACTCAATATAGGAAAGTATTCATCAAGAAAAGATATTTTTGATATTTAAAAGGATGATATTTCAAAAAATAATTGTTCTAAATTTGACAGATCAATAAGTATAGAATAGAAAATGCATAAGCCTAAAAATCATTGGTCTTAAGATAAACCTAATCGGAAATATGTTGTTTCTTATTATTAAAGAGTTAAACCAATTCCAAAATTTAGAGAATACTCATATGTAAGTAAAGATAAAATTGGTCCAAGTTTGATTGATTATCCAAAAGATAAAATAAAAGGTAGAACATTTAAAAAAGATTAAAGATTTAAAATTGCAAAAATTAATAAAGTTGATATTCATTAAGAATATTTTATTTAGAAATTAGTTAAAAATAAGGATTATGTATAATCAGGTGAAAAAGATTCTAGTTCTTCAGAAGAATTTATAAATCTTAAAATTTTAGATTTTACAGAAAAAGTTTTTTTTGATAAATAAATCAGATTAAAAAAACCTTAATAAGATGTAATGAGATAGAAAGCACCTGGGCCAGGGAATTATGATATTAAAGTGTAATCAGGAAAATAGTATTCATTTCCAAAAGGTAAAAGATATAATAAGTTTTTTTGGGATTTCTTTTGATAATTCCTTATTTATAAATATTAGAAAAAAATACTAAGCAAGTTAATAGATGTTTATATATACATTCATTTATTTTAAATAATTAAATTTGTTCATGTTATTTTGAACAAATCTATAAATTGAACATCATTTTAAGATATATATGCAAAAGTGATGTAAAATTTGATGTTATCTTATATAAAAGAGATAGTTAAAAAAGAGATTTGTTTATGTTTAAATAACATAATTAACATGTATAAATAGATGTAAATGAAATTCTTTATGTTCTATTCGATATAATTAAATTCTTTTGTAAATATAATTAAGTTAATATAATGTCATTTAAGTATAAAATTTTCATTTATGGGGTCATTTCATTTTTATTTCTGGTTCTTCTATTGTTATGGTATATTTTTAGCAACATCTATCATTTCCTTTTAGAATTTTGAAAAAACATTGTTTTTTATTCCTTACTGAGATGGAATCGCCTAAAAAGTAACAAAATTAGAGAATTATTATTCAGAAGGGAGACTTTAAAAAGAATATTATTATCCTGTTGATAACTGAGAACTTTTTTGATGGTCTTTAAACACTCCAAACTAAGGCTATTTTTATGGTTAATAGTCTTCATCAGAATCAGATAATGAAATCATTTGTTATGGTGCATCAAAAATAGAACATATTTTAGTATTTTAAGGTTGAGTATTATCAACTTCTAATGTTTCTATTCTTTCTACTCTATTACAACATGTTCCATTTCCCATTTATTTTATATTAAATTAATAATCACCATAATATCATTATTATCTTTTTGAAATATTCAAGACCTTTAGAATTGATTAATTATAAGTATTTATGCGAGTATAATATTTTTGATAAAATAAAAAGTAAGAGGATTTTGATATTGATTAATTTATATAATAACATAAAAATAATTTGTTTAGCTAAAATTAATATATTTTGGAAATTATAACAAATATTCAAAAGATCTTAAAGATCTGAGAATGAATGTAAATATCAAAATAATTAAGATTATCGTTTCATTCTAAATATTGTTCCAGATCTGAAAGATCTCTCTATTATTATTAATATGACTTTAAGATGCTTTTTCTTTCAAGTTATTTAACATATTCTTTGAGCTGTTCTTCTTATTCTTATTATTACATCCTATAACTATTTAAACATTATTATGCTTCTTAAAAGTATTTAGAACATTTATTAGAATAGTCAGAATTGAATGGTAATTCTAATTGTAATAGATTAATAAATTTGGATATTTTATCTAATGTTTCTACTTATCTAGTTGTATTATGATTTCCATCACATAATTCAAGTCTTTTATATGATTTACATTTTTCATAGAGAATTTGAGAATGTCTAGGATGAACCAATTAATCAGATTTTCCAGCCAGGAAATAAAATCGTTTAGTATTGCTTTGTATATTAACATAATTGAGAGGAGACACTTGATCAATATCAAATTATGCTTCATTTATTATCTTACTTCTAAGAAATGGCATAAAACCATTGATCATAAATGAAAAACATCCAAATTTTTATTAACCTAACTCTTCTACAACAGTTCTTAATTATGTAAAAGCACTATCAGCAATATAAGTAGTAATTCGAGGATCTTAGGATAACATTAGTGCAGTTACAGCTCCCATACTTCTTCCCCATAAAATAAACTCATCAACTTTACCAAAATGACATTCAATATAGTTCATTAGTTCTTTTACATCTTCACTTTCATAAGTACCCATGGTTATGTATTTTCCTTCTGATAAACCACATCCAGCAAAATCGAATATACATAAATTGACTCCTGTAGCTAATAACCTATCTACATACTACAATCCTTCTAATCTACAACTAGCATTGCAATGAAGATAAATTAGACAACGATGATGAACAGATTCTTATATGAAATAACTAGCTTAAAGTTTTAGCTATCTTGAAGTAAACTCGAAATCTTATCTTATTATTGGAACACTTTGAATAAATCGTAATTTTGGACCTACTTTTAGTGTATCAATACCTAATTATTATATTGAATAAGTTCTTCTTGGTGGTCTAATGATCTATTTACAATAATCACTTATGAATGACATTAATATTAATGCATAAAGTTGTTGTTAAAGCACTAATTCGTGAATTCTTTATAAAGACAGGACTTAATGAGACATTAAATACATTTGACAAAGAGTATAATGAAAAGACTGTAATAAAAAAGATGGATGTAATTTTATAACTTGGACTTTCAAAAATTGTGAAAAGAAACAATGAATAATAGAAACCTTTAAATAGTTTATTAGAAATCCTAATCTCTCATATTCTCAATAAAAAAGCATTATTAGAAGAATTAACAATAGCATCAAAAGCAGAAAGAATTGAAGACATCCCTTAAGATACTCCATATGATCCTACTATTGGAGTATCTCGTTAAAATAAAATGAAGAAACGTCCTTAATCAGAATATAAGCCTAAGAATTTAGATATATCAAAAGAAGAAGATCTATTTATTGAATAAAAAGATGATAAGAAAGATGAAAAATATTCACCAAATAAAGGAGCATTTGAAGTACCAAGAAAGTCTTCACTTAAATAAGTTAAATTGTTTGATTTTTAAGAATAAAATGCTAATGATTAATCTAATTAAGAAAAGAAAGATAAACCATAATTACCACTTGCTCAACCACCTAAATTAATCAATATGAAAAAATAATCTGAAAATAAAGAAGTCGAATAAATATCATTCACAAAATAACAAAATAATAATTAAGATAATTTATTATAGAATGTCAATGTAGAATATCAAAAATGCAATATCAAATAGCATAATGTGTAACTTCCATCATCAAACATTAATTATGATAAAAGTATTGGTTTTAATTAAGGAAAACGTAAACCTTAATAAAAAACCATTACATAACCTGTTAAAAAATTATTATTTTAAGGAACAATGACTGGATTACCAAAAAGTTGGTCATAACCTTTTATTTTAAAAAATGAACCTACTTTTTTTGGATTACATTAGTTAGAAGGAGGTCCCTGTGGTGTTTTAGCTTCAGTTTAAGCCTACTATCTTAAACACTTTCTATTTTCTTAATCTACTTATTCTAAGTCTTCAATTAAATAAAATTGTTTACTTGCTGCCTTATCTGACATTTTATATAAATCTAATAAAGAAAGACTTATTCTAGCTATTCCAGCAAGAGATTCCTCAATGAATTAAGCAATAGGAATTGAAAGTTGTGATTAATTAGAATACTAAATCAAATCTCTTAATTATTTGTATGAAGTACTATTGGAACATACTTCTTTATTTTTTGGATAAAATGGAGTAACTTTATTCTTCTATTCTCTTATTTTAACAAAAGGAGTTGAATAAATAATGTCTGAAATGGATTCGTCAACAAATCCTTTGATTGGTAATCATGGACATTGTACTTAAGAAGCTGTAAATTTAATGTTGACTGGTAAGGCTATTAGTAATTGTTTTGATGGGTAATAATTAATTTTATTATTTATAGATGTAAACAAATAGATGAATTGAAAATTAAAGGAATTGAAGAAAGAAGTGAAATTGGATTCTTGACTATATTTGAACATTTTTAATATCTTGAAGTAGGAAAGAACTTGAAGGAACCTCTACTACCCATATGGGTGATTTGTAAAGAATATCATTATTCAGTCATTTTTGGTTGTAATAATGATGTAATTTAAGATAAACCTTATTTAAGTAATATATAATAAATATATATTAGAAAATAATTTAAAAGAATTTGATCTTGTATTTTATGATGGGTTGAATAATTCTGATGATCTAATAATAATTACAATAAGAAGATTAGGTGCTCAATTAGGCAAATAGAAAAAGAAAGTTTAAATAGAGGGAGTTTAATTTGATTCGAGTGACTAAATTACACCCTTAATAGAATGCTTACTAAAAACAAAATATGGAGAATTAGAATTAGATTGGAATGATAGTATGCCAATATTATGAACTACAATTTATTATCATGAATTCTATTTAAATTTTTTTATTTACTTTGTTTTCTTTAAGATAAAAATGCATTAAATTATATTGAAGATAGATTAAAGAAATCTTGATATTAATGGAGAAACCTTTTTAATCACTCCAGCTAATTTAAATATATTTAGCTTAATATATGATTCTTATGTATTTGAATATAGAATGGAAATGTTTTAGAAGAAGAAAATAAAAATATAATGAAATTTATATATAGAAATTATATAGTTATCAGCACATAATCAATATTGGCAATGATCTCCAAGGACTTTTATTAGGTATTGAAGGAATAGTAAAATCAGTACGATGTTTAAAGTATTTTTTTTTTAAAGAAGTGAAGATTCTTATTTGATTAAAGATACCATTATTTTCAGGGTATTTAGGTATTAAGGGAGATTCAAAGTTAGATAATTCTGACAAAGATTTGATATTGTGTTAAATTTATTATTAGTAGTTTTCTGGAATAGAATATTCTTCACTTATTATAGATAAAGAATGAAAAAATTGATGAGGCATTTATTCAAATTTTTCAATATCTTTTTTTGCTAATTCAAATTCATCTTGAATATCTAATTGTTCAATTTTTAGTAAACCTTGCAATATATGAGTTGGAGTAAAATAAATTTAATTTGTTTTTAAATTTACCATACAAGGTGTAAGTTATTAAATTTCATCTTTTTTTAATGATTCAATATTTGATATTGTTAAAATCAAATTTTATTGTAAAGAATTTGATGATAATACAGGTTTATCTTAATTTTCTTGTTGTATCACTACTGGTTACTTGCTGATTTTCCATAAAACTTTATCAATCAATTTATTTAGATCATCTTATACATCTTCCCTTTTAAGAAGACAATTAAATCGATTTTTAACTTAATTTTCATTTCTTTTTAAATTTTTAGCAATTTCAGTCCACTTTTTACCTTTTTATTGAATTTGATAAATTAATTCTAGATCTTCTCTATCAGTCCAAGGATCTTTAATTTTTAATAAAGTAGGATCTAAATAATTAATCCATCTCTCTCTAAGTTGTTTACATGTTCTATAGATCAAATTATTGTTATTTATTTCATTTGCTATCAATTTCCATTTATTATCTTTATTTTTATATTTTTCATAAAGTATTATAATTTATTGATCCTCTTCTTATGTAAATGGTTGAGATACCAATGATGTTTTTAACATAGACAACCACTTTTGTCTAATATTGTCAACATTTCTTCTAAGAAGATATTTGCCAATCTCATTAAAATCATTATTATCCAAAAATCTACAATTTTTCTAATTAAGTTAACAATACTTTCCAACAACCCAAACTAATACTTTTTTTTCATCTAAACTCCAACTTTTTTTTTGATTTATTGAGAATCGTCTACTATATATTTTTTTTTGAATTTTTAAAATTTCTTAATCATTTAGATTATCATGAAAAGGAATGTTAAAGTATTCCCTAAGATAAATGAAATCAATTTGTATATTCTAACATGATTCATAAAACTTTTAAAATTATTAATATTATTGTTGTGTTTCTAATCTTTCTTAACTTGTTGCTAAACATAAATGTTATATATACATTAACGTTCTTAATAAATACGTCCTCTTGGTGGCTTTTGAATGTATGAATCTGCATCAGAAAGGTTAAATTCTTCAAACATTGTTGTAAATATTAAAAATAAAATCAATTGCAAAATCTTTGTATATTTAATATTTAAAATATTTCGTCATTAAAAACTGTCAAAAATCATTCTATTAGTTCATTTAAAAGATACTTTTAAGATAAAAAAATAATTAGAAAAACTCTCATATGTAATTTAAGAGTAAAAATGAAAAGAATTTTATTATTCTTAAGAAAATACATTTTATTAATTAAATTTTATGAAATAAGAAAATAAAAAAATTATCACTTGATAAAATAAATTTTAGTTTTAATTCATATTAAATTTTTACTATAGAACATATTTCTAAGTGATTGTTCTATCATTTTAATTTACTTTAGAAGAATATGTATATATTTATAAAAGTTTCTAAAATTAAATTCTATAGATGAAATATATATATATGAATAAGAATAAAGATTAAGAAATATGGAAATATATATAATTTAATAATAATATAGGTATAAAATTTAGTTACTTATTTTATTTAATCTCATTAAATTTGTCATTTTTTTAATTTTACAAAATGTTGTTATTTAAGTCTTAAAATAATAATTGTTTTAATTTTTGAGTATTTATGTAGATTAATTTACATTGTTATTGAGTTGATTTTAATTATCTCTATAGTATTTAAAGTAAATAATAAATAACAAAAGAATTGTGAATATAAAATCAAATATTTCATTAAAATGTATTAGATTAAAAACTATTGGATGTATATTTCTTAAGCTTTATAAATAAAGTTTATTTATACATTATCATAATATTAAAGTAAATAATTGTGATAACAGTATCAATATCAATAAAATTACTATAGTTTTTATTGTGAATCGGATTTGAGTTACATTAAGTTCAGTTAATTTGAATTTTGTAATTTAGGTCTCCTTATTTTAAGTATTTCCTTATTACTATACATTTTAATCATCCTTTCGTATTGGTTATTCAAGTATACAATCTTATTTCACTTATTCTTCAGTTTGAAATTATTCTTAAATAAAATCATTGAATTCATTTGAATTGAATGTTATATTTCTAATTGCTTAAACTCTTAAATCTTTAACAATAATTTATTTAGGAGATTAAGTTTTAGGTTATTCAATTTTTAGATTATCTAAATCATCATCTTTGGGCCAATCAGAAGGATTAAATTCTGGAAAATCTTGGAATTCCAATAGTTCATCCTATTTAGGTAAATATTTTTCTTTTATTTTTTCTATAACTTGTTAATTTACTTGATGGAGACCAATTTTTTAATCTATTTAAGTGATGAGCCCATTTAATCTCTGATGAGTATTGATGATTTCTTCATTTTCTTCAATAATAGGAAGTTCTTTAGGAAGAGATTTAAGTTTAGTTTCAGGATTATAAAATTCAGGACTTTTATCCGTATGACCATTATTTGTACATTAAGGTGAATCAA